TGTCCCTTTGAAAAAGAGATGCCTTGATGGTTTGAGGTCTACTCTATACAATCCCTTGCCCAAAGACATCAACCATAATGAATTTTCTTCCACTCTAAAAATATTTGTGGACAAAATCCTAAGGCTAATCAGTTCTCACCAATCATTCCGAATATGAATGATATAGTTCTTGTACCATCTGCGTTTGGTCAAGTTCCCAAAGGTTCAACCATTTCACTTCAACAGCCTCCTATATCAAACATAAACAAAAGTCATATCATAAACCATTCACACCCCTTTCCCCAACCTTTTGTAACGCCTGATATTAAAAGCAAACTAAATGGCCCACTTACATCAAACCAACAAACATTTCTCGATGGACTGTTAGTTTCATCAACACAGAGTGCTTTATACGAGCAGGAAACACAAGATCAATGTGAGCAAAAGAAGTGGGTTGAACTTAAGGCACATCGCCTATCTTCAAGTAACTTTAAATTTGTGCATAGACAAGATAATTTTGAACATTCTCTCTACTGAAATCCAAAAGACAAACTGAGGCTATGAAGTATGGCATGGAGAATGAGGACTCTGCTGCTGAGTCATATTCAAGGCTGCAGAAGCTTAATGTCCATGCTTGTGGAATTGTCATTAACCATACATGTCCATATCTAGCCACTTCACCAGACAGGCGGGTATATGACCCGTCTGAGAGTGACCCTTGGGGTTTGCTAGAAATCAAATGTTCCACTGCACAATCCATATCAAATATCAACTACCTTAAGTTAACATCTCAAGGTACATACAAGCTCAAAGAAACATCCCAGCATTATCATCAAGTAATGGGTCAAATGTTACTCACTGGGGCCAGGTGGGTCGATTTCTTTGTTTGGTGCAAAGATGATTACCACTTGGAGAGAATATATTTCAATGAGGAATTTGGAATGAAATGAAAACCAGGTTGGATCTGTTTTACTTCAACTATTTCATAAATTACATCCTTGGTAAAATCTAAACAATATTATCAGTAAGGGGCCAGTTGACTGATGTAGTGAATGGAAAGTAATTTGACAAGTAGCTTGTACGGTTGGAAACTAGACAGACTCTACTGACATATCATCCCATAAATGTCTATTTTTATGGGTAATGAAGTTTTACATTAGTAATCGGGTTATGATGTGATTCATACATCAGCCAAGTGACATTGTAATTCATGTGTTTCATGAAGGATGAATTTCTTTACTTCTCTGACATGAGACATTGACAATTGATGTGTTAGACATGTAACCATGGTAAGATGTGTACAAACATATTCATGAATGATCGAATTGTTATGGTATTGACATACTTCAGTTTTGAAAACTTTAGTTGCACTGTTTCAGCATGAATGTATTAGTAATACAAGGAAATAAAGATGTTTCCACTCTCCCATTACCATGCCATTCAACTATGACACAAGAACTTGCAAAACTGATTGCATAATATTCGATATTGAAGTAATGTACCAGTAAACAATTATCACATTTCTGTTTAATGAGTATTTATCAAGATGTCACACCATGACAACATGGTTCAAGTAATGGTCCAAAGTCACCAGACTCTCGGTACAGAGGCATTAAGCCATGTTATGTTTCATAACTTTTCTCTTTGCATCACTTAAAAAAGAGAACCCCTGAAATTTGATAATAGACAGCAAACAGTCCAAATTTGATTTACAGATCCTACAAAGGTTAATGGAATTATGCCATCAAAAATATGGTATTCCTTCACTCTTCTGATAGCTCTCTCCACATGTATACGTAGTCTGGATATTTCCTGTGTGATTTCACATCCTTTCTAGTAAACTGATAATCATTTGATTTTGAGAGAAAGGGTGGGGAAATCAAGTGAGCACCAGTAGACTGAAGAAGATCATCAATCAAAAACCCTTTGTCAGCCATAACTCCATCGCCTACCTCTAACAATGACAAGAGACCACTCTGTTTGGTTATTTCCTTATCAGAAATACATCCTTCATAAAGTGAACTGATAAAAGTAATTGGCCCATAGGGAGCAATACCAATCAATGCTTTCATAGTGGTGTAGGTTTTATAATGCGAAAACATTTCTGAATTGACAACCCTAGAGGCTGGTGTTTGACATTTCAATTCAGTACAGTCAACAATAACCCGTGTTGCAGGATAAGAACATTTAAATTCTGGTGGCATTCTTTCATTTATCATTTCTCTAGAGGGCCAAATGCATACACATCCAAGCAAAAAATACAGATAATTGGCCCATGTAATAGTTAGTCTACAAATAGTTGAAACACTGACATTAAACAGATGTGCCAAGTGTGTTTCAGGGTAACCTTGTCTTACTCTAATGAGAAACACAAATAATTGGTCAAACAATGACAAAGAACATGGAAATCCACAGTGTAGTTTGTCAACATCAGTACCTCTCTGAAACTGTGTCCAGGTTTGCATCTCTGAAGCAGTAGGATAGAGCCACTGAAAAAATGATGTAGCTCATTGAAATCAGTAAAACCTGTATACAAATTGATGTCCACAGGACTGGTAGCGAAACGCCTTATAGAAAATAATTTTGCAGACTGAACATTTACCCAATTTTGTAAGCGTTTTATCTCTGCATGTGCAGAAGCTAATTTTTCTTCAGTTGTGGCATGTTGTTTCTCATGGTAATCATGATCTGCTGTTGGGTGGGGAGTAGATGTTTGGGTCGGGTCACTGGCCGTAGTCGAAGCCAGATCTGCAGTGTCAGCCAGTGTAGGCATTGTTGGTACACAGTCCATGCTATCCAACCTGAAAAGTGTAAGTCACGGAACATTTCATATTCCCTCGTAAATAAAGCATATCCTAGAATATTAATTTTGGTACCATAAAATATATTATCAGGGATGTGAGCAGGTTTTCCCTCAAAAAGAGAAAAACTTTTGGGGGGTTCACACAAATATTTTATACTTTTGATTGCATTTTAAGCAATTGGGTGCATTTTGGACAACACTCACACAAAGAAATGTAATAAGTCAATGACAAAAGTCAAGTCAAATAAACAAAGATAGCGGATGCAGTAAAATTGCGAAGTTAAATCAGCACTTTTAAAAAAGCGGACATAGCTTCCGCGCACCTGGCTATCCGCCAGGTCTGGGAGCAATACTGCCATTATTATAATAACAATATATTAATACATTATTATAATCATAATAAATTTACAGTGTCACACACTGTACAGTACATGCACTGGAATAGAAATGAATGATTAAATAAAGTATTAATGTCATGACAAATTATCATTACAACTATTTTAGTGAACTGTATATTATATGTAATAATTGATATGATAATAAGAGATAGTCAAATCAATACCTTCTGTCCTGGACCTTGTTGGTTGGTCTACTCTTGGTGGCACTGTTCCATGTAAATATACAAATCTGAAACAAAAAAAGTTAACATCAATAAACATATTTAACAATGTTATTAAGTTTCTATTATTCAAAATAGTGAAGCTGTAAAAAAAACATATATGTAGATAACTATTATTACAAAATCTATGGCCAGAAAATGTTAAAAGTAGCATACATAAGGTAGAAGTTACCTGTATATATTACCTTAATGTATGAACATTTTCAGTACAAGGATTGCTGAAAATAAACCTGACTTGCAGGATAGCAAAACGACCATAACCATAACATTTCATTAACCTGTAGTATCCTTTAATCAAAATATTATTTACATTTTTTTTCAGGCAGCCATTGAGACAGACATGCTTAGTCAATATAGATCTATAGGCCTAGGGCCCAAACCACAAATATTTATTACATAACTATTTCTCAAGTATAAGGTCGACTATTGTGTCAGTGTTACTTACTGGCATTGCATTCAAGTAAATCTTTCCCCAGATTATCAACATTTAAATAAATAATACATTTTTTACATAACATTAGGTTTGCCGTCTGTTTATGTCAACCCATTCACTGATCGTGTCATAAAGTTGTCAAGAGCTCATCGGTAACGAATGGCTCGAAATATTGAAGTAAATTTTGAAATTACATGTAAACAATTATTATTTTACCTAGAACACGATGTTCTTGTCATTTTTTAGTGAAATATAATGTTGTGGTATCATCGTATGCAACAAATTAGTCGGACTTCTTGTGAACTGACGATAAACAATTTTCGTGATTCGACACATTGTACCTCTACAGACAGGCTGCTTACCTGGAAGGAGTTGCTCACATCTCGACGTATGGCTGCGATCCATTTCCCCCTGAGATGCTTGTCTTTAGGAAAATTGAAAAAAAGACAAATCCGAAGAAACTGCTTTTCTCCGATCTCTCGTACAGAACGGGACCGAACAGAGAGCCATTACTTCCTGTGTGTTGACACTACCTGCAGAAGCAGCGATGCTCTCCAAGCCTCGCTTTCAAACCGGAAGTACCGAAGTGTGAAAAAGGTCAATACAATATAAGCAGTCGTGGTCATCCCTGAATCACTGAAGCACGGAACATGTATTTCCAGACATTACAATAGATAGAACATTGTTCAGGTGAAAATATGTACTGTCCATACACCAACGTGACCGTTGCCGATAGAGGTGAAAGCTATACTGGTTAACCGTCTATATGTTTGATAGCAACGCACACCGATACTATCGCGCATACCAGTTTAGGGTTGGACCGTCCTGGTCAGCGGGCGTAGCTGGAGTTCGTAGATCGATGGTCATGATATCAATCACTGGATTTTATGGTCAAGACTCGATTATTTACATACCGTCATCATATAGCTGGGATATTGCTGAGTGCGGCGTTAAACAACAAAGAAGAATAGCACAACAATCTTTTTTCCGAATAATAACTGATATGAAAACATGCGAGGTGTGTTACCAGTTCCAAGCATTTAAGTTGAGCGTCTTCGCAGTGGCTGAAGGCGCTAAAATACAGGTCCTAACCAAGTTTTACTCATCGAATATCTTCCCTTTAACAGGTTCCAGGATTGCAGTAAAATCAGAAGAAGTTAAATCTATCACACGCATGCCAGAGTGCCAGATTCACATCTTTCCATGATCCCCTTAAATATGTCCACAACATGAAGCATGTGGCTAAAAGTGTAGACACGCCTTGGTTTCTGGATCCGAAGAATGTGTTTCGGTTTCGGATTCTCTCTCTCATTGCTCTCATCAAGTTTCAAAATATCATCGATCTGAGTACAACGGATGTCACCTTCAATATACAAAGCGCAATGAAGAGCAAAGGCTGGATACTGGCAAGTGGGAATATGTGGAAGGCATTTTGCTCCATTAATGTATAGTCCACATCCTATGGGGTCGATGACATGAACGCCAGCCTTCTTCAAGATGTTTCCGAACATGTACGTGCTGTCAACTCGATACTGAAGAAACTTATCATCAATGTTCTCCAATAGACCAACTGTCATGGCCTCCATATCCCTACCGGTCAGTCCTCCATACGTCTTGAACCCTTCTGTATAGAACATCCTGACTGATGCTTTGTCGTAAACATCCTGCTGGTTTCTGGCCAGAAACGCCCCTGTGTTACACAGCCCGTCTTTCTTGGCTGAGACATAGATATGGTCGAAGTAGGAGAACATCTTCAGGGCGATGTCTTTACAGGACATGAGGCTATATTCCTTGTCGCGTGTCTTGATGAAGTAGGCATTCTCTGCGAACCGACATCCGTCCATGATCAAGGGAATATCAAAGCTGTGACAAATGTTTGACAGGTCTTGGATATTGGACATTGAGACTGGCTGTCCTGCTTGGCCTGTGCTTGCAACGACCAACACAACGATTGCACCTTCTGGCCCATCCGTCTTCAGTTCCTCCTTGAGCCTCCCACAGTCAATATTCGCATTGAAGGAACGTTCTGGACTTCCCCGGTACCTGAATCTGTTGCAAAATCAAAAGTCACGTGACGACTATCAAGTTTGAATGGATTCGAACCGCTATCTTCCAGTATTTTTATCCGTTCTTCCCTTGTCAGGAATGTGAGGGGTTCCACCATTTTAATGCGGAATGGTTCCATGAATGACACCTGTAATTCAGAAACACATTGCTTTATCCATACAGTGAACACTGTTATATAACGCCTTGAAACAAATATATAACACATCATGATAAACATTTAAATGTCATGATCACGTGAGTGTGTGAATACTTTTATGTCATGAAAAACGTGGAAAATCACACACAATGTGTTCGGCTCTCATTGTTTATTTGCAGTCTAAAGTCTAAATCTAAATAACAAGCTAAATCCTTCCCTGTATATTTACACTTTCCCGATCCCTCTGTCACTTTACATGACTTCAATAGAAGTCAGAATATCCTTACATCTGACTGCCCCGTGACTCTGTCGGTCACAATATCTTTACATCTGACTGCCCCAAGATTCTGTTCTTCACAATATCCCTACATCTGTCTGCCCCGAGCTTCTGTCAGTCAAAATATCCCTACATCTGACTGCCCCGATATTCTGTCAGTCACAATATCCCTACATCTGACTGCCCCGATATTCTGTCAGTCACAATATCCCTACATCTGACTGCCCTGAGATTCTGTCAGTCACAATATCCCTACATCTGACTGCCCTGTGACACTGTCTGTCACAATATCCCTACATCTGACTGCCCTGAGAACCTGTCTGTCACATTATCCCTACATCTGACTGCCCTGAGATTCTGTCAGTCACAATATCCCTACATCTGAGTGCACCTCATATGATTCTTCAATTGTTACTTTTCAGTTTAACAATGTGAATTACGATGTTCACTGTTTACAAAACTCACCTCGTAAAACTGTAATCTAAGTGAGTGACGTGACGTGTTTGATGACATTAAGTTGATTAATCCTGTTTCACTCTGGAAATAAAAGTGATAATATTGGTCACATTACAATAATAGTACATACCTATCCTGACAGTATGTAAGTTCTGTCTTGTGAAATCACGACCTTTAATTGCAAATAGTGTGTCGATGACCGTTACAGAATGGTTGAGTTCAAGCTGGTACCCATACACGCATTGATGGAAGGATGCAAAGTATCACGACCTTTAATTAAAACTATTGTGTCAATGACCTTCAAGTATGGTGTGTAAAACAACGTTTTATGTTGATACCCATGCATGCACTGAAGGAAGAACGCAAGGTAAATAACTCCAGCATCAGAGGGACCAGATTGTTGTGAGTGTCCCCACGTAACATTGAGTCTCAGGTGGTTGTGGAGTGCCCCGTGTAACATTGTGTCACAGATGTCTGAAAGGGTCCCCGTGTAACATTGTGTCACAGATGGTTGTGAGTGTCCCCGTGTAACATTGTGTCACATATGGATGTGAGTGTCCCTGTGTAACATTATATCACAGATGGTTATGAGTGTCCCCATGTAACATTGTGTCACAGATGGTTATGAGTGTCCCCTTGTAACATTGTGTCACAGATGGTTATGATTGTCACCATGTAACAATGTGTCACGTATGATTGTGAAAGTTTCCGTTTTTAATTGTATATATACAGTAATAGGTGTTCATATGCAACGTGGGGCGGTCGGGTAGCCTAGTGGTTAAAGCGTTCGCTCGTCACGCCGAACACCCGGATTCGATTCCCGACATGGGTACAATGTGTGAAGCCCATTTCTGGTGTCCCCCGCTGTGATATTGCCGGAATATTGCTAAAAGCGGCGTAAAAACCATACTCACTCACTCACTCATATGCAACGTATACTGAACCAAATTAAAAACTTCACAATCCTAAAATTTTAACATTTTGACCAGTTATCATTGTTGGTCCTTATTGTGTATTTAAACAGTAATTGCCACGTATTGTCTTCAGATAACACCTGTTTTAGTGCAGGTGAATCGATCGAAATAATGTGCACAGCACTAAAGTGACAAAAGTGTTTTTTCACGTGCAACTGGTCATGTGGCCATAATACCGCACGTGTTTTCAGCAAGACTTGTTAGCAGTCATTAACCAAAACAGAAAAACACAAGAAAACAAAAGTCTTTACGGCCATTTGTCATGCCACGCCTTTCAAATGTGCAACGTGACCGTGTCATCGGCATGTTGCAGACAGGAACGTCCGTAGCTGAAGTCGCAAGGACGATGGGTTGTAGTTGACGGACTGTTTATGATTTACAGACGCTTCTACAGCAAACGGGTACCACCGCTGATCGCCCTCGGCCAGGTCGACCACGTGTGACGTCACATGCAGAGGATCGTCAGATTGTCTTACGTCACCTCCCTAACCGATTTTTGACGGCTACATCAACCAGAAATGAACTGTTTAGGGGTAGACTGAGTGCGCAAACTGTTCGAAACCGTCTGAGAACTGCTCATCTTCAAGTACGACGGCCATATTCCGACTCAATTACACAGACGTTAACGTCAATTGTGGGCACAGCGACACTTACGATGGACTCAGAGGAATTGGAATCATGTCGTCTTCAGTGATGAATACCGATTTAATCTGCGATTTGCTGATGGTAGGGCGAGGGTATGGATGCGCCGTCACGAACGTTACGCCCAGTGTTGTGTACAGGAAGTTGACAGATTTCGAAGCGGAAGTGTCATGGTGTTGGGTGCCTTCTGTGGCAATGCACGTTCCAGGCTTCTTGTCATCCGTGGCAACCTCAACGCTGCTGCTTATCGACCTAAAAGCCCATCGAACACGTCTGGGATGCTCTTGGCAGAAGTCTCCGCACTCTCTGGAACCAACCACAGAATTTGTAAGATCTTGGCACCAATTTGAAGCAACAATGGCGTCGTCTTCCCAATCATGTGTTCACAAGCATCACAAGGTCCATGCGGAGGCGTTGTGTGGCAGTTGTCAACGCACATGGTGGCCATACACGCCACTGAACTTGTGTACCATCAGATTCTCGTGCCTGGGACTTATGATTTAAACTGTTGATGTTATTACCGAATAACGGAGGTGCTTGGAACAAATTATGGTTACCACCGTTAATTAATATTCTTCTTTGGACATTAATGGTTAAAAAGTATCTTCTCTGATATATGTGTCCGTTGTATATCATATATGGGATTACTTTTAAAAATGTGAAATTTATAATTTGACTCAGTATATATTACAGATATTTGTTCTCGCATAACACGTATTCCAGATAGTTGAGTGTGTAGCAGTATGTTGAAATCACTGATTGTCAACCGGACGGCCACAGCGTTAAGGTGAGATTTCCAAAATTGAAACGTGAAGGTTCACCCAGAAGATTCGTTCGTGCAGAACACAAACTAGTTTGACACCCTCTAGTCATACACCCACGAGTTAGACACCCACAAGTCAGACACCAATTTCTTGGACACCCATCTGTCAGACACCAATTATTAAGACACCCATCAATCAGACAACCACTATTTAGACACCATCTAGTCAGATACCCACTAGTTAGACACCCATCAGCCAGACACATACTACTTAAAAGTCCACTAGGCAGACACCCACTAGATAGACAACCATAAGTCAGACACCCACTAGTCAGAAACCCACAAGTTAGACACCCATCAGTCAGACACCCTCTAGTTAGACACCCACTAGTCAGAAAACCATCAGTCAGACACCCACTCGTTGGACACTCATCATTCTGACAACCACTAGTTAGGGACCCATCAGTCAGACACCCACTAGTTAGAGACCCATCAGTCAGACACACACTAGTTGGTCATCCATCAGTCAGACACGCACTAGTCAGACAACCACTAGTAAGACACCCATCAGTGAGACACCCACTACTCAGACACCCATCAGTTAGATATCCACAAGTGAGTCACCATGAGTCAAACACCCACTAGTCAGACAACCACAAGTCAGACAACTACTAGTTAGACACCCATCAGTGAGACACCCACAAGTTAGTCACCATGAGTCAGACACCCTCAATCAGACACCCACTAGTCAGACAACCATCAGTCAGACACACTACTTAGACACCCATCAGTCAGACACCCACAAGCTAGACACCTCCTTGTCAGGCAACCACTAATTAGACACCCATCATCGAGACGCCCACTACTCAGACACCCACGAATGAGTCACTATGAGTCAGAGAACCACTAGTCAGACACACACTAGTTAGACACCCACTAGTCAGACAACCACTTGTTAGACACCCATAAGTCAGACACCCACTACGCCTACACCTATCAGTCAGACACCCTATAGTTAGACACTCACTAGTCAGACACCCACTTGTTAGATACCCATCAGCCAGAAACCAACAAGTAAGACACCCAGTAGTTAGCCACCTACTGCTCAGGCAACCACTAGTTAGACACCAATTAGTGAGACACCAACTACTCAGACACCCACTAGTTAGACACCCATCAGTCAGACACCCACTAGTCAGACTCCCATCACTCAGATAACCACTAGTCAGACAACCATTAATCAGATACCCACTAGTTAGACACCAACTTGTTAGACACCCATCATTGAAACACCAACTTGTTGGACACCCATCAGTCAGACACTAAAATGATGGACACCTATCCGTCAGACACCCATTGGTTACCCACTACGACTTAAACATCCTTCATTCATTCAGACACCCGCTAGCTAGTCATCCACTCGTTAGACACCCATCAGTCAGACATCCACTAGTTAGTCACCCGTCAGTCAGACACCCACTAGTTAGATACCCATCAGCCCGAAACAAACAAGTTAGACACTCACTAGTTAGCCACCTACTGCTCAGGCATCCACTAGTTAGACACCCATTAGTGAGACACCAACTACTCAGACACCCACTAGTTAGACACCCATCAGTCAGACATCTCTCCCTCACTATGCTCCAGACGGGACTGCTGTAACATTTGGATTAGATGGCAGTCCTCGGACCTGGTGGTCCTTCGGGATGCCATGAGCTCTACCTACACTACTGCCTAGAACGTAATTCACGCGTGGGTTACATATTGCACACGCGTGTGCCATGCATTGTCGCATTGTCGCATTGTCGCCCTTCGAAAAACAAGCAGAAAGTGTCAAAATTAACCAAAGCCCGACAATGCAAGAATACGACAATGCGACATTTTGCACATTTGTCGCATCGTCGCGCTTTGAATAATCACTTATATTTAATCAAAGCGCGACAATGCGCCGCATTCAGCAATATTACAGCTATATGACGGCGGTCTGTAATTAATCGAGTCTGGACCAGACAATCCTGAGATTGACAACATGAGCATCGATTCACGCAGTTGGAATCGATGACATGCATCAACCTAGTCAGCGAGTCTGACCACCCGATCCCGTTAGTCATGGATTGCTGAAGACCTATTCTACCCCGGATGTTCACGGGTCCAGAAAGGGTTTTTGAAAGAGCTGGTGTGTTGCTGCGTGTTCTTACATATAACTGGATGTAAAACATACGTATGGTTTAGAGACAAGAACGGATCAAAATTGTGAATTATATTCCTCTTCAATACTGCATGTGTTACAGGCAGGACAAACTCACACTTTTCGCGAATATCTGGTGTAATCACCGATTTTCAGTGATCCACCCCATGCGTTTTGGTCCCAGTGGAATATTTTTCTTCGGATAATTTGAGACGTTAATCTGGCGTTGTCATTTTTTATTTACATGATCTATGTATGAGATATATACTCTCCAAAACAAGTAGGGGATCATGGGATATGAATGGTATGATCGGTCGTTAGAAAAAAGATGAGCTGCTGAACACAGTCACACACACACACAAACACACACAGTCACACACACACACAGAGTCACAGACACACACACACACACACACACACAGTCACACACACACACACACACGCGCGCACACGCGCGCACACACACACACACACACACAACCACATACACACATACACACTCACAAACACAAATATTGATCCTATTTATAAGCAAGTACAAAAGCGATCCGGTACGCACGGACACACGCACACAGACACACATTAATCATATTCAAAAGCAAGTATTAAAACACTATACATTAAACATATTATTCATAGGATAAAGAGCCAGTTCACATTCAGCCAATCAAATTAAATCATACATTCGATACAAAAGTTACAAACGAAAACTTGCTTCGTTTTGTAAAAGCGCGATAATGCATAATACCCAAAATATCATTTTCTAATTTTTAAAATGAAAACATCAATATCATATATATATCTTTTATTTATCATAATGAAATATAATCATGGTAGGATAAAACAACAAAAAGTTTTGACACACATATTGATCCTATTTAAAGCAAGTACTAAAGCGATCCGGTACACACACACCGAACACACACACACACACACACACACACACACACACACACACACACACACACACACACACACACACACACACCGTGCACCAATCCAATTAACACTGAAATAACAAAATAGATTTCAGTGATTTTCATATCTTTTATTTTCAAAATTGCATTATGACATTTCTAACTTCTCTCAGATATATACCTGATAAACACTCACACGTGTTGCTGTCAAAATTCACAACATTTACTGACGAAATTTCCGTTGCATGAGACGTTTACATTTCGCGTACTGTATCGCCTTACCGCTGTTCTGAAATGTGTGCCTATGACATAGCCTGATCGGCGGTACTACAACTTAGATATGGGTACGTATACTATGAAAACCTACTTAATCTTTAAAAGTGTATTCTTTAAATATCAAGGTCAACACTTTCAGTACCGTTGCAAAACGTCAACAAAGCGACATGGGATGAACGATCAAGCTGATCTCCACGCCTCGCTTCGAACGACTATCTAGTGGTTAACTATACAATATAAGCAGTCGTGGTCATCCCTGAATCACTGGTGCACGGAACATGTATTTCCAGACATGACAATAGATAGAACATTGTTCAGGTGAAAATATGTACTGTCCATACGATAGAGGCGAAAGCAATGCTGGTTAACCGTCTATAGGTTTGATAGTAACGTGCACCGATACTAACGCACATACCAGTTTAGGGTTGGACTGTCCTGGTCAGCTCACGTAGCGGGAGTTCGTAGATCGATGGTCATGATATCAATCACTGGATTTTTCGGTCCAGATTCGATTATTTACATACCGTCATCATATAGCTGGGATATTGCTGAGTACGGCGTTAAACAACTAAGAAGAATAGCACAACAATCTTTTTTTCCGAATAATGTAAACATGCGAGGTGTGTTACCAGTTTCAAGCATATAAGTTGAGCGTCTTCCGAATAATGTAAACATGCGAGGTGTGTTACCAGTTTCAAGCATATAAGTTGAGCGTCTTCGCAGTAACAGCAGGCGCTAGAATACAGGTCCAAACCAAGTTTTAATCATCGAATATCTTCCCTTTAACAGGTTCCAGGATTGCAGTAAAATCAGAAGAAGTTAAATCTATCACATGCATGCCAGAGATAGATTCACGTCTTTCCATGACCCTCTTAAATATGTCCCCAACATGAAGCATATGGCTAAGAGTGTAGACACGCCTTGGTATCTGGATCCGAAGAATGTGTTGCGGTTTCGGATTCTCTCTCTCATTGCTCTCATCAAGTTTCAAAATATCATCGATCTGAGCACAACGGATGCCACCTTCAATATACAAAGCGCAGTGAAGAGCAAAGGCTGGATACTGGCAAGTGGGAACATGTGGAAGGCATTTTGCTCCATTAATGTATAGTCCACATCCTATGGGGTCGATGACATGAACGCCAGCCTTCTTCAGGATGTCTCCGAACATGTACGTGCTGTCAACTCGATACTGAAGAAACTTATCATCAATGTTCTCCAATAGACCAACTGTCATGGCCTCCATATCCCTACCCGTCAGTCCTCCATACGTCTTAAACCCTTCTGTATAAAACATCCTGACCGATGCTTTGTCGTAAACACCCTGCTGGTTTGTGGCCAGAAACGCCCCTGTGTTACACAGCCCGTCTTTCTTGGCTGAGACATAGACATGGTCGAAGTAGGAGAACATCTTCAGGGCGATGTCTTTACAGGACATGAGGCTATATTCCTTGTCGCGTGTCTTGATGAAGTAGGCATTCTCTGCGAACCGACATCCGTCCATGATCAAGGGAATATCAAAGCTGTGACAAATGTTTGATAGGTCTTGGATATTGGACATTGAGACTGGCTGTCCTGCTTGGCCTGTGCTGGCAACAGCCAACACAACCATTGCACCTTCTGGTCCCATCGTCTCCAGTTCCTTCTTGAGCCTCCCACAGTCAATGTTCGCATTGAAGGAATTTTCGGGACTTACATTGCATGGAAGATCAACAACCTGTAAACCATTAATATCAGCATTTCCACGTGTTGTGGAGAATAAAGTGTTACTGAAAATGGTCATTCCGGGCTTCGACAGAATGGAAAATAATAGACGTTCTACAGCCCTTCCTTGGTGAGCGGGTAGCATGTATTGAAATCCCGTCAGAGATTTCACGCAGTCCTCTAACTTCTTAAAGCTGCGTGATGAGAAGTAGCCCTCATCTGCTTGCATCATCGCTGCCCACTGATGTTGACTCATGGCCCCGGTACCTGAATCAGTTGCAAAATCAAAAGTCACGTGACGACTATCCAGTTTGAATGGATTCGAACCGCTATCTTCCAGTATTTTTATCCGTTCTTCCCTTGTCAGGAATGTTAGGGGTTCCACCATCTTAATGCGGAATGGCTCCATGAATGACATCTGTAATTCAGAAACACAATGCTTTATACATACAGTAAACACGCACTTGAAAACAAATCTAAATTTATAACACATCATGATAAACATTTAAATGTCATGATCACGTGAGTGTGTGAATACTTTTATATACCCCTACATCTGACTGCCCCGATATTCTGTGAGTCACAATATCCCTACATCTGACTGCCCCGACATTATGTTCGTCACAATATCCCAACATCTGACTGCCTCGAGATTCTGTCAGTCACAATATCCCTACATCTGACTGCCCCATGACTCTATATGTCACAATATCCTTACATCTGACTGCCCCGTGACTCTATCTGTCACATTATCCCTACATCTGACTGCCCCATGACTCTATCTGTCACAATATCCCTACATCTGACTGCCCCTCATATGATTCTTCAATAGTTACTTTTCAGTTTAACAATGTGAATTACGATGTTCACTGTTTACAAATCCCACCTCTTAAAACTGTAATCTAAGTGAGTGAAGTGACGTGGTGGAAGACATTAAGTTGATTAATCCAAGTCACCTGTTTCCCTCTGGAAATAAATGAGATAATATTGGTCACATAACAATGATAGTCTGACTCAAAAGGAGACAAGCACATACCTAGCCTGACATTATGTAAATTCTGTCTTGCGAAATCACGACCTTTAATTACAAATAGTGTGTCGATGACCGCCACAGAATCGTTGAGTTCAAGCTGGTACCCATGCACGCATTGATGGAAGAACTCAAAGTATCACGACCTTTAATTAAAACTATTGTGTTAATGACCGTCAAGTATGGTGTGTAAAACAACGTTTTATGTTGATACCCATGCATGAACTGAAGGAAGAACGCAAGGTAAATAACTCCAGCATCAGAGGGACCAGATTGTTAAGAATGTCCCCACGTAACATTGAGTCTCAGGTGGTTGTGGAGTGCCCCGTGTAACATTGTGTCACAGATGTCTGAAAGGGTCCCCGTGTAACATTGTGTCACATATGGATGTGAGTGTCCCCGTGTAACATTGTGTCTCAGATGGGTGCGAGTGTCCCCGTGTAACATTGTGTCACAGATAGTTGTCAGTGTAGCTGTGTAACATTGTGTCACATATGGATGTCAGTGTCCCCCTGTAACATTGTGTCACAGGTGTCTGAAAGGGTCCCTGTGTAACATTGTGTCACATATGGATGTGAGTGTCCCCGTGTAACATTGTGTCTCAGATGGGTGCGAGTGTCCCCGTGTAACATTGTGTCACAGATAGTTGTCAGTGTAGCTGTGTAACATTGTGTCACATATGGATGTGAGTGTCCCCGTGTAACATTGTGTCACAGATAGTTGTCAGTGTAGCTGTGTAACATTGTGTCACATATGGATGTGAGCGTCCCCGTGTAACATTGTGTCTCAGATGGGTGCGAGTGTCCCCGTGTAACATTGTGTCACAGATAGTTGTCAGTGTAGCTGTGTAACATTGTGTCACATATGGATGTCAGTGTCCCCCTGTAACATTGTGTCACATATGGATGTGAGTGTCTCCGTGTAACATTGTGTCGCAGATGGTTGTGAGTGTCCCCGTGTATAACATTGTGCCACAGGTGTTTGTGTAGTGCCCCGTGTATAACATTGTGTAACAGATGGTTGTGAGTGTCCACGTGAAACATTGTGTCACAGATGGTTGTGAGTGTCCACGTGAAACATTGTGTCACAGATGGTTATGATTGTCACCGTTAAGATTGTGTAACAGATGGTTATGGTCACTTTGTAACAATGTGTCACATATGATTGTTAGAGTCTCCGTTTTGAATTGTATAATATGTAGTAATAGATGTCCATATGCAAAATATATTACAGATATTTGTTCTCGCATAACATGTGTTCCAGATAGTTTTTCCAAAATTGAAACGTGAAGGTTAACCCCCAAAATTCGTTCGTGCAGAACACAACTTGTTAGACACCCTCTAGTGATACACCCACGAGTTATACACCCACAAGTCAGACACCAATTTCTTGGACACCCATCTGTCAGACACCAATTAGACAACAGACAGACAAATTTATTTGGTACTTCAGGCCACAGGCCCATAACACAATGGACATATACTGTATATATATTTGCATGCTGAGTAGATTTAATAATGATTCACCGTTCAACACTGTGTTTCCGTTCGATGTTCATGACTTGGGAGAGAGATTTACCTAAGCCTTTTATAATTTGTTCGTTTTCCGCTGACATAAGTCTTATAAAATTCTCAACAGAGGGAGGGGAAAAAGAGTTTCTTCATGCCCTTGAATACTGGTCACAAATCATAAGAACATGGAATTCATCTTCAACATGGTTATGTCCCTTTGAAAAGTTAGACACCCATCAGTGAGACACCAATCAGTCAGACACCCACAAGTTAGTCACCCATCAGTCAGACAGCAACTGGGTAGACACTCAGCAGTCAGACACTCATCAGTCAAACACCCATCAGTCAGACAGCAACTGGGTAGACACTCATCTGTCAGACACCCATCAGTGAGACACCCATCAGTGAGACACCTATCTGTCAGACACTCATCAGTCAGACACCCATCAGTGAGACACCTATCTGTTAGATACTCATCAGTCAGACACCCATCAGTCAGACACCTATCTGTCAGACACTCATCAGTCAGACACCCATCAGTCAGACACCTATCTGTCAGACACTCATCAGTCAGACACCTATCAGTCAGACACCTATCTGTCAGACACTCATCAGTCAGACACCCATCAGTCAGACACCTATCTGTCAGACACTCATCAGTGAGACACCCATCAGTGAGACACCAATCAGTCAGACACTCATCAGTCAGACACTCATCAGTCAGACACCCATCAGTGAGACACATATCAGTCAGACACTCATCAGTCAGACACCAATCAGTCAGACACATATCAGTCAGACACCCATCAGTGAGACACCAATCAGTCAGACACCCATCAGTGAGACACCAATCAGTCAGACCCTCATCAGTCAGACACTCATCAGTGAGACACCCATCAGTGAGACACCAATCAGTCAGACACTCATCAGTCAGACACTCATCAGTCAGACACCCATCAGTGAGACACCTATCAGTCAGACACTCATCAGTCAGACACCAATCAGTCAGACACATATCAGTCAGACACCCATCAGTGAGACACCAATCAGTCAGACACCCATCAGTGAGACACCAATCAGTCAGACCCTCATCAGTCAGACACTCATCAGTGAGACACCAATCAGTGAGACACCAATCAGTCAGACACTCATCAGTCAGACACCCATCAGTCAGACACCTATCAGTCAGACACTCAGCAGTCAGACACCCATCAGTGAGACACCTATCTGTCAGATACTCATCAGTCAGACATCCATCAGTGAGACACCTATCTGTCAGACACTCATCAGTCAGACACCCATCAGTCAGACACCTATCTGTCAGACACTCATCAGTCAGACACCCATCAGTGAGACACCTATCTGTCAGACACTCATCAGTCAGACACCCATCAGTGAGACACCTATCTGTCAGACACTCATCAGTCAGACACCCATCAGTGAGACACCAATCAGTCAGACACTCATCAGTCAGACACTCATCAGTCAGACACCCATCAGTGAGACACCTATCAGTCAGACACTCATCAGTCAGACACCAATCAGTCAGACACCAATCAGTCAGACACATATCAGTCAGACACCCATCAGTCAGACACTCATCAGTCAGACACCCATCAGTGAGACACCTATCTGTCAGACACTCATCAGTCAGACACCCATCAGTGAGACACCAATCAGTCAGACACTCATCAGTCAGACACTCATCAGTCAGACACCCATCAGTGAGACACCTATCAGTCAGACACTCATCAGTCAGACACCAATCAGTCAGACACCAATCAGTCAGACACATATCAGTCAGACACCCATCAGTCAGACACTCATCAGTCAGACACCCATCAGTCAGACACCAATCAGTCAGACACTCATCAGTCAGACACTCATCAGTCAGACACCCATCAGTGAGACACCATCAGTCAGACACTCATCAGTCAGACACCCATCAGTGAGACACCTATCTGTCAGACACTCATCAGTCAGACACCCATCAGTGAGACACCTATCTGTCAGACACTCATCAGTCAGACACCCATCAGTGAGACACCTATCTGTCAGACACTCATCAGTCAGACACCCATCAGTGAGACACCTATCTGTCAGACACTCATCAGTCAGACACCCATCAGTGAGACACCTATCTGTCAGACACTCATCAGTCAGACACCCATCAGTGAGACACCAATCAGTCAGACACTCATCAGTCAGATACCCATCAGTCAGACAGCAACTGGTTAGACACCATCAGAAAGACACAAACTAGTCAGACAACCAGTAGTCAGACAATCACTTGTCAGAAACATATTAGTTTGACACCCATCCTTCAGACAACAATCATTCAGACACCCACTAGTTAGACACCCATCAGTTAGTCACCCATCAGCCAGACACACACTAGTTAGACACTAACTAGTCAGATACGCACTTGTTAGACATCAATCAGTCTGACACCCATTTATAAGACACCCACTGGTAAGTTACCTACTAGTTAGACATTTATCAGTGAGACACCCACTAGTTAAACACCCACCAGTCCGTCACCTACTATTTGGACAGTCACTTATCAGACTGTGAGGTTGGTGCTTTAGAGGACAAGACCCACATCTGTAAGGGAACAGCTTTAGAGCGCTCTACTCAGAGAGGTGAAATGCCATCACAGTCTATGTGCATTTGTCATCACATATAATGTTTATTCCCATATTGTGAGGTTTAACTTTCCAGTCGGGTTAAATCTGATAAACAGGGACGTATTAATGTCCCTGGGATTCTATATAATATCCCAGGGATTTTATAAAATGTCCTGGGTATTTTATTAATATAACTTCCGTTCAGATCGCAACATGTAATGGAATGTAAAATCAAATGACAAATGTTTTCTTTACATTCCCGATGATCGACCTCGCAACTCGCAACTCGCAAGGCTACAGAGGTGTTGATAAGCCTCACTGGTTTTAAAATGTCCTTTTCAAGATCCGTACGCCAGCAACAGGTATTTTACGCGCGTTTCCTAAGGTTCATGGAAAGTATGTTCGAAACATAAAAATGTTGATAAATGTTGTTTTAAGTTTCTTTTTTCGGTTTATAAGTATGGAAAAACACTTTCCCTCGGTTTCGGTAGTAAGAGCATGCCCTGGGGGTCGGGAAAAACGGCGGGGGCTTCGCCCCCTTGATTTTTCCCTTTCCTCAGGGCATGCTCTGTCTACCAAAACCTCGTGAGCGTGTTTTCTCCAATACTTAACAACCTGTTTCTAACCATCACTTTTGATCTTCATCAAGTCTGTCTCTGCTTGGATTATCTTCTCACAGTTTACATGTTTAATCTTATTTCAATTTTTTTTATAAAAGTGTAAAAATAAAGGTAAGCGTTGTCAGTGTTGCTGGGGCAAGAACAGTATAATGCATCACGTCAAGAGCTGCTTCTGTCACTCAAACTTAAAACCTTGGACTCTCCGTGCTATTTAAGGAGGATCTATAAGTGAGTCCTACACACATAGGCAGAAGCCATGGACTAGCCACCATATGTCTGCCATCTCGGGAACACCTGGCGACATCACGAAGCCAGACTCCTCTTGTGATTCATGTGCAATGTATGTATTTCAACTTATATATTTTGATGTTTTTTTACAAGATTGTAGCATGTTTTCTTATGTATACACAGCAAGGCATAATGTGTATTAATCTATGAATATTTAGAACGATCTTCCTCATCGGGAATAGCCCATTATAACCCTGAGTTAACAGTGGAGTTGCCGTGCACTCAATCATAAATTTGTTTTGTAGAGCTGTCAATTAATGGGAGATTACAAACATGTGGCAGCTGCAATAAAAAACAGGTTCTTTAATAAATGTCAATGTACTCACGAATGTCCAGTGTTGAGAGCTGGCTTGTAGTTGGTGCTTTCAGATAGGTATCACGTCCAGACAGGGCAGGTTGATACGATGCAAATCAGGTCGTAGAAGGCCTGGAAGCGCTCTCGTCTCGCTCTGAAATTGATACAGCCAACCTCTCCCTCACTATGCTCCAGACATTTAGATTAGATTGCAGTCCTCAGACCTGGTGGTCCTTCGGGATGCCATGAACTCTACCTACACTACTGCCTGGAACGTAATTCACGCGTGGATCACATATTGCACACGCTTGTGCCATGCATTGTCGCATTGTCGCCCTTCGAAAACCAAGCAAAAAGTGTCAAAATTAACCAAAGCGTGACAATGAAAGAATACGACAACGTGACATTTTGCCAATTTGTCGCATCGTCGCGCTTTGAATAATCTCTTATATTTTATCAAAGCGCGACAATGCGCCGCACTCAGCAATATTCCAGCTATATGACGGCGGTCTGTAAGTAATCGAGTCTGGACCAGACAATCCTGAGATTGACAACATGAGCATCGATCCACGCAATTTGGACCGATGACATGCATCAACCTAGTCAGCGAGTCTGACCACCCGTTAGTCATGGATTGCTGAAGACCTATTCTACACCGGATCTTCACAGGTCGAAAAGGCTTATGAAAGAGCTGGTCCAGAAAGGGCTTTATCGTAAAGGGTTAATATCGTAACAATGTGTGCTTAAATTTGAAGTCCTCTGGTTTCGCCGAAGAACATTGCAACAATGTTATATTGTCGGTATTTGCCGGCTCTCACATACGTTTCCCCACTCATACTCAGTTACGCAAAGAAAAATAGTTCTTTGAATATATACAACATAATCTAGAAATATATCAATATAATTTCTTTCTCTGAACAAATTTACAAACAATATTCTGGATAAATCAGATCTTAAAAATAGGTTTCGGGAAGGTGAACAAAAATATAAACATGACCTCGAGGCGAGGTCAACCTTCAAGCGTGGATTTATATATGACGTCACATAAGTTTTTAAAGAGGTACATTTCGAGTCCAACGAGAGCATGAGGATGAAATTTAAACTGCTGTTGAAAATCACGTTTATGGAGCAGTTTTTGAAAACACCCCGACGCTTGAACCTTCTCATGGCACCAGCAAATTGGGAATATCACTGATTTATGAATGTGTTGCTTGTGTTTGGATAATCGCAAACCAATTCGGACGATGCGGAATGGACTGGTGGGGATTGAACCGAGTGCTCTGAAATGTGTGTGCTTTGTGTTAATTTCAACGTCAGGGTGTGTTATATTTGGAGTTTGGGATTTGTCGCGTGTGCTGTAATACTTTGCTTAGCCGGTGTTTCTTGTCACCTGAGATGGACAAAGTGTATGACCTGATGCCAGCTTCATTTCTGTGCCCCGTCATTCCTCATGTGCCGCCGCTTCTCGGCCTAGAATGCACGGAGAAGGTCAGCCAACTCAGAAACCGGAACAGCAGATTTCTAGTCTCCGATGACCAATCGATAAAACAGAAAGGTAAGTTTTTGGGTTTTGGGTTTTTTTAAATTTAAGTTTCATTTCTTACCTTTTTATGTTTTGTGGTTTCTCAAAATCCTAGATTTTTTCCCCGATACGATAGTAAATCGTGTTTTAGTTTGGGATTGATCAGGAGCAGTCGCGTTTGCTTTGTGTCAGCGGCCACATCTGAGCAGGGTACGACATTGTTTTCATTGGTGCGAGATTCCTGTCATTTCCGAAAACAAGGCATCAAAGTCAAAATCGCTCAATGAATCAATTTCGTTAACATCAGTAAATTTACAGAAATAATTTTCTTCACTTGCGTTATTAGTATTGAAAGATAGCCATTCCATATCCAAATAACCGCAAGGACAATCCATTTTGTTTCATGTAGCAGCTAGACGACATCAATCACCAGAACCAAAGCATTTATTTATTTATAAGTCCGCTGAAATGTTACAGGACCAGGCTAAAATACTAAGATAATTTTAACTGACGGCCAAAAGATGCGTTACCAACGATATTTCTAGGATAAAATATGACCAACACAATTTGAAGCAGCAATAACAATTGTATTGTAGAAATTCATCATTCGGAACAGTAAAATGCGAATTTACTAATTCAACAACAAAGTCCTTGACCTCCAACAGGGACATTTCTTGACAAGGGGCAATTCGTCCAGTATTCGATCAAAAACATTGGTTACAACTTTAAGGTGACGATGGCCCAGACCGTTCAATACGGCAATGAGCGGCAATACATCTTCGAATGCGGCGTCGAACTGAGTAGACAAGCGTCCTCACATCAACTGCAGGTATCCGATTCCAGTCCTCACGGAGGGCAACGATCAACGCTTGTCTCGTGAAGGGAGGCTGTTGACGTTCCCGAAGACGACGCCGCAGCTGGTCCTAGAGATGTTCTATGGGTGACAGATCTGGTGATCGAGCTGGCTAAGGCAGGACAGTCTCGTTGTTGACGTTGAGGAAGTCTCTAGTAATATGGGCTTTATGGGGTGTGGCGTTATCTTGTTGGAACACCGTCCGTTGTTAACGCTGGATGAAAGGAAGAACCACTGGCCGTACGATATTGTCAATGTAGCGTTGTGCTGTCAAATTGCCTTCAATGATGACAAGTTCCGTCTTCTCGTCCCCGCAAATGCCGCCCGACCATCACACTTCCGCCCCTGTAAGATTCCACCTCCTGCACACAACAGGGAGCCGTACGTTCACCACGCCGTCGATAAACTCGCGCCCGCCCATAAGGTTTGAAGAATTGGAACCTGCTCTCGTCACTAAACAGCACTTCCCTGCCAGTCTGTCGGAGACGTGCGACCAGTCTGGTGATGGTCATCTTGGAACAGTTCATCTGATTGACAACCGCTATCTGTGTCTCTGTTGCTCTCTCCCTCTGTACAACGGTCAGTCTTGGCATGTTCGTTCGTGTTAATCATCGCAACCAATGATAGGGAACAGATCCGTGCTTAATTTATACCCGGAAATTGCACGATAATTTGGGAAAGAATGTTTTAAAAAATTGCTGAAAAACACCAATATCTCCCAAAATCCGCAAAGCACGTGCAAAGAACAACAGAGAACATCAAGGCTGTATTCGTGAGATGTGTTCTTTACTGTTTTTGAACAGGTTGGCATCTTTGTTTCAAAGTGGCAAATCAGTTAATGTTGGTAACGTTTCTTTATAATGCTTATAAATGCAGGTATTTAAAAGAAAATAGAAAAACAAGTTGATCGTAAACACCGATCGAGAATTCGGGGAAAGCAAGTATTAAAACACTTATATATATAAAAATATTATTCATAGGATAAAGAGCCAGTTCACATTAAGCCAATCAAATTAAATCATATATTCAATACAAAAGTATACAAACGAAAACAAAGCGACAATACCAAAAATATCATTATTTAATTTTTAAAATGAAAACATCAATATCATATATATATATCTTGTATTTATCATAATGAAATATAATCATGGTAGCATCAAACAACAAATTGTTTTGACATACCGTGCACCAATTAACACTGAAATAACAAAATAGATTTCAGTGATTTTCATATCTTATATTTTCAAAATTGCATTATGACATCTTGTTCATGACATAATTTGTTTGTGACTGTTTCCTTTACAATTTCATGAAAGTATTTCTTACTTCTCTCAGTTATATACTTGATACACGCTTACATGTGTTGCTGTCAAAATTCACAACATTTACTGACGAAATTTCCGTTGCATAAGACGTTGACATTTCGCGTACTGTATCGCCTAACCGCTGTTCTGAAATGTGTGCCTATGACATAGCCTGATCGGCGGTACTACAACTTAGATATGGGTACATATACTATGAAAATCTACTTAATCTTTAAAAGTGTATTCTTAAAATATCAAGGGCAACACTTTCAGTACCGATTTCAAAACGTCAACAAAGCGACATGGGATGAACGATCAAGCTGATCTCCACGCCTCGCTTCGAACGACTATCTAGTGGTTAACTATACAATATAAGCAGTCGTGGTCATCCCTGAATCACTGAAGCACGGAACATGTATTACCAGACATGACAATAGATAGAACATTGTTCAGGTGAAAATAGGTACTGTCCATACTATAATCAAGGTTTTGTCCCAGGTTTGGGAACTTGATTATACCTTAATAAGAACAAGAGGAACGATTACAGTCAAGCAGTTTACTGTCAGTGGTGTTGTGTTTTATAACACAGAATACAAGAGACATAATAGCAATACATGGTACATAGAATGATAATAGTATGAATACATGAAACATATAGAATAATGATAGAATGATCGAATAAGCAACGGTTATAATACTTGTGGGGGAAAGCTAGATAGGTAGGGGATATAGCTATAGGTAGAGCTAAGCAAACTTTCATGTCTAGAGAGAGCATTACATCATGACACCAACATTATAACTTGTGACTGCATTTGTAAGTAACGTCACTATAAATACGCTTGGCATATTACATCTGAAGTGGACCCTCAGACCAAGTATAATAAAACATGTAGATGTAGGATATGAACGATATTGATAATCAGAATAGTATCATTTGCATGGAGTTGACTTATCACGATGTCAGATTTGATTTCTAAGTTCATCAATGCTTTGTCATCGTGTGTATCAAAATATGATAGAGTAACAGTTTCTGTAACGGCCGAACATTAGATATGCATACTAACCGTCTGTGTCTTTATCGTTCAACATACCGCCCGATTAATGACATGACTTTCATGACACTTATTTGATACATATTGTATTCTGATACCGTGTATATTCGGATATTGATAATGGAAAATCATATTCAATTAATAGGGAATTACTGTTCCTTAACAGACACATGTGGTGCTAAACATATTTCATAAAACATACAAAGTATAGTAAACATCTATTCATAATACAGGTCTGGTAAACAAATATCTAAAACACACATGTTATTGTGTATGAACTTTCATACGTACATAGGTAATAATGAACGCTTCATTATTTAAACATACAAGGGACCCATGCACATGCACAGTCCAAATATGTCTCCACAATCTTACATTAGTTTGTTAGAGTTAACCATCTATAGAAACACAGACTATCTAGAATATATCACACACATATATATAATATTGGACCAAATGTATCAAATAATAAAACGCTTCTTACCTTAGTAAGAAGAAGAGGAACGATTACAGTCAAGCAGTTTACTGTCAGTGGTGTTGTGTACTGACCAGTGGAGATGCTTGACTTTTATAGTAATCGCCTCGTATATTTTGACTTTGAGTGATTCCCGAGTCAATGAATTGTGAATTGTTTTCATCTCATTCTTGACCGATGATACGTCACGAGGTAATGATGCTGCATTATTACATAATATTAACTTCGACCTCTGGACAATAGAATTCACTCAGCGCGATGGGTTTGATGGATATGTCCATCTTACATCACTTTAGCCTGCTATGTAGCTGTCAGTGTTCAGTGTGACACGTGAACGTCTACAAGATTTAATTGCTTGTTGATATGTTGTAGGTAATGAAACCTTTAAGAATATTTTAATTCCATTTATATTTAGTTAATAATTATATCAGAAAACGCTGATATTTACATAACATATTGGAACAATATTGAGTGTATTTTATACTGGTATAATTTCCCTCTTGTGTGTTTTAGCTTTTGGCCTCAAAAGCTGAACTAAATAACATGTTAAACAAATGACATATTGAATATAAGACTTATAACATATGGAATATATACAAACATACATATATAAAGGCATGGTTATTAGAACTGTAATGGGTTCAGTATTGACATGTCTGGATACATTTTGTCACTGATAATCTCTGGTTCCAGCACAGTGAAAAATCTTTGATGTACAACTAGAATGTGGGCTTGAAAGGGTTGCTTCAAGACGGTCTTCAATGTTTTACCAGATAGGAATGGTACATTTTGGAGTAGAACTTATTAATATGCTTTTACCCGAAAATTTGCTTTCAATTTTGAATCCTGGCCAGTTAAGAGAAAGGGTCGGCCAAAACGTTCCAGTAAGGGATAAATTATCGATGGTAATAGGGTGTGTCAGATGCCAATATGACGGACAGAGGGACAATTTGATTATAGGGATAATAACACACGCAGAACCTGTGGTGATTTCCAAATGTAGCTCAGTGGTGTGGGAACGCTTCTAAATCAATTTCGAAATGAACAGAAGAAGTACAAGTAATGTAAAGAAACCAACCAATAATGATGGTAAGGGGAAGGCATAGTCTACGCCAATGTAGACTGGTGAGGGGGGAGGGGGCGTGGTCTCAAATTAATATTTAAAGGATAGAATCTTCCAAGGCTTTGGCAGATGGAGTTTGTGTAAACAGTATTATCATTGCTGTAAGAGCGCGCAATCTTCAACACATCCAAAAACTGATAATTGATTATACACATACCATGAATAAGGAAGCATAGGGAATCATAGATTTACAATCTAACCATGACGTTTGTAAGTTTATTTGACCATCCAATAAGGGTTCAGTAAGTGTTTGGAAAATGAGTTGGTCCTTTTTAGCGCTCTCAGCCACACGTCTGAGATTGAGGTGACTATTATGGTCATTAGCTATGATGTTCGAAAAATTGTGTGAATAAATGTGAAAGTCTGGAATTTCAACTTTGACAGGAGATAGGTAGGTGGTGGTTCCTGTAAGTGATTCTAATGTATTGTCCTCAAAGAAATGTTGTAGCAAGGCCAAATTGACTGGATGAGAAGGAGTAACAGTGTCACTTGCGTTACTGCATGAATTAAGACTTGCAGGAATAAATTGTGATTGGGTAGATAGCGCACATCGACATGGAATGGACAATATGCAGAAATTACAACCTTTTACCATTTTTAAACCTGACTCGCAGTCCAATGAAATTAGAGGAACATGATAAACTAGTACTTTGGAAGGGGATATTTGAATAAAATTAGACTGTTTGGTAGTGATGAGAAAACGGAAGTTGCAAAACTGTTTAACATCTTTTACCCTGTTATGATACAAGGACATAACACAGGACGACTGGGTGTTAGGTATCAAGGCGAGTTTGAAAAGTCATTGTAATTGTTTGAATCCTTGACACTGGGAAAGATGTTTGTATGTTAAGGTAACATGATATTGACCCTCTGAAGAAATAGCTAAACATTTGGGTAAATCTAAAAGTTGGGTAGCATGAGCTGAAGTGGAGTTAATGGGAACAGGAACAGAAATAATTTCATAAAGAGACATTGGTAATTTCATAGCTGAGATGGGGAATTTAACAGAAACATATAAGTTCTTGTGGTGTCCAATTAAGATGAAGTCAGCCTGTGAATAATAGTAGTTTGTGTTTTGGTGCATCAGTGTAAACGTTTTGTATTTGTCATGTATAATGGCAGTGATTTGCCGAATACTGTGTCTCATGTCCTGTGGTTGTAAAGGGAGTGGAGAAAGTTTTCCTTTTGCTAGGTCTTATACACCTGAACTAAGCTGGTAGGGTTGGAGTTTTAAATGTGATGATTGCATCATGTGTTTTGTAAGCAGGGAAGACATGAATACGTTTGTAGCTTGGAGGATCGAAAGAGCTGCATTTACCGAATATGTGATATTAGATAATTCGTCGTGGTTTTGTTCCATACCACGAATAATATTTTGGGACCTGTTATCAACTGATGCCATAAACGATGAAAGATGTTCTGAATGTTGACTTAAAGCATTGGTGATACGAGAACGATCCTTTGTAAGGGCATTGATGTGTTCAGCTAAAACTTTCACATCGTCAAGTTTGGCTGTATTAAAAAGCGATCGAGACAGATCACCTATAAAAGAAAATATAGCACGTTTAGTTTTGCTAGGTGATGGAAAGGTTGTGTGTGGAACCAATGTATGCACAAGTTTGACTGTTTCATTGAGTGTTGTCATGACATCGGTTTTAATTGAGTGTAGAATCGTGTTAACACTGTTCAATGCGGTACATTTGTGTGATTCGGAATGTCATTTTGGACGCATTGGCATGTGAACATGTTCTGGGAGGAGCAGTTCAAAAGTATGAAGCCATTGTTCTGTACACAATGTAACATATGGATGAGCAAGGACTGGTTTGAAGAAAATACCATAGTTCAGTCTCTGGACGATATCTGGAGTTGAGGAAACCGCAAATGGGAGAAGCATACTCAACAGTAGCAAGAAGTAGATCCACAGTGGTCCTGAAAGTGCTAAAAAGAAAAAAAAATGATGTAGCTGTCCAATGGATAGGGGTGAGGTAAAGCGGCCAACAATACCTTCTAGCACTTTTATAGCAAGACAGCACTACAATAATTTCCCTGGACAAAAGGGGGAAGGGAGGGATGAAATAGAACTATGATGTATGTGCACATACGAAAAAAATTAAAATAGTATACCAGGTGTGGAATACTATATCTCTGTGATCTATTTCTTTGTAAAGTATGATTTCCGTGGTCGTTTTCTCTTTCTACCTGACATGGTCTTTGAGCTGTGGAATTGTCGTTTGGCATACTCACCAACATGCGAATCTGGTTCCCATGAGGTGGTGCCATCCTCTTTCCATTTCACATGGTACATTATTGTACCATTCACCCATTTCGATGACAAGATCTTATCGACTTCAAAATAGTCAGATGATTGAAATTGATCTTTTTCACCTGACCGTTGTTGTCCTTGATCTGTTTGGTTGGGACCTTGGCTGGTTTCTTGCTTTTTCTGACTGTTGGTTTGTGTGTCTTGTTGTTGGGATCTGTGTTGTTCGTTTCGTGCTTGTTCTTGGTAGTGATGTTCTAGGTCTGTTGCCTTTTCTGGCCACCATCCATATCATTTATCAGGGCCCACTGATCGAAGTTGTTGAGCCAGGTTGTGGCACAATCTTGTTCCTTGCCATGAAATTCAGGCAGTGTCTACAGGGCGAATACAGTGGCCATGTTGGTGTGATTAGGTCTCCTTTGTAATTGTAGCTGCTGGTTATGTCGAAAGTGTTGTGGGTGTTCTTGTTCTTGTTCTTCTTGTAGCTGTTTTTGTAGATGTTCTTGCTCTTCTTGTTATACTTGTGGTTGTTCTGGTTCTTCGTGCAGTTGTTCTTGTTGGAGTTGTGCTTGTGGTGGTTCTAGTTGTGTTAGCTTGATATGTGATTGTTCTAGTACTTCATAGTGTCCCTATATCTGACTACTCACCACATCTGACTGCCCCGACATTCTGCCAGTCACAGTGTCCCTACATCTGACTGCTCAGACATTCTGTCAGTCACAGTGTCCTTACATCTTACTGCCCAGACATTCTGTCAGTCACAGTGTCCCTACATCTTACTGCCCAGACATTCTGTCAGTCACAGTGTCCTTTCATCTGACTGCCCCGACATTCTGTCAGTCACAGTGTCCCTACATCTGACTGCCCCGACATTCTGTCAGTCACAGTGTCCCTACATCTGATTGCCCCACATTCTGTCAGTCACATTATCCCTACATCTGACTGCCCCACATTCTGTCAGTCACAGTGTCCCTACATCTGACTGCCCCGACATTCTGTCAGTCACAGTGTCCCTACATCTGACTGCCCCGACATTCTTTCAGTCAGAGTGTCCCTACATCTGACTGCCCCGATATTCTGTCAGTCACAGTGTCCCTACATCTTACTGCCCCGACATTCTGTCAGTCACAGTGTCCCTACATCTGACAGCGCCGACATTCTGTCAGTCAGAGTGTCCCTACATCTGACAGCGCCGACATTCTGTCAGTCAGAGTGTCCCTACATCTGACTGCCCCGATATTCTGTCAGTCACAGTGTCCCTACATCTGACTGCCCCGACATTCTTTCAGTCAGAGTGTCCCTACATCTGACTGCCCCGACATCCTGTCAGTCACAGTGTCCCTACATCTGACTGCCCAGACATTCTGTCAGTCACAGTGTCCCTACATCTGACTGCCCAGACATTCTGTCAGTCACAGTGTCCTTACATCTTACTGCCCAGACATCCTGTCAGTCACAGTGTCCCTACATCTGACTGCCCCGACATTCTTTCAGTCAGAGTGTCCCTACATCTGACTGCCCCGACATTCTGTCAGTCACATTATCCCTACATCTGACTGCCCCGACATTCTGTCAGTCACAATATCCCTACATCTGACAGCGCCGACATTCTTTCAGTCACATTGTCCCTACATCTGACAGCGCCGACATTCTGTCAGTCACAGTGTCCCTAGATCTGACTGCCCCGACATTCTGTCAGTCACAGTGTCCCTAGATCTGACTGCCCCGACATTCTGTCAGTCACAATATCCCTACAACTGACTGCCCCGACATTCTGTCAGTCACAATATCCCTACTGCCCCTCATATCATTCTTCAATAGTTACTTTTCAGTTTAACAATGTGAATTACGATGTTCACTGTTTACAAACCTCACCTCGTAAAACTAAGTGAGTGACGTGACGTGGTGGAGGACAGTAAATTGATTAATCCTGTTTCCCTCTTGAAATAAAATGATAATATTGGTCACATTACAATGATAGTCTGACTCACAAGGAGACAAGTACATACCTATCCTGACAGTATGTAAGTTATGTCTTGCGAAATCACGACCTTTAATTACAAATAGTGTGTCGATGACCGCCACAGAATCGTTGAGTTCAAGCAACGCGTTTTGCTGATACCCATGCACGCATTGATGAAAGAACGCAAAGTATCATGACTTTTAATTGAAACAATTGTGTTAATGACCGTCAAGTATGGTGTGTAAAACAACGTTTTATGTTGATATCCATGCATGCACTGAAGGAAGAACGCAAGTTTAATAACCCAAGTATCAGAGAGACAAGATTGTTGTGAGTGTCCCTACGTAACATTGGGTCTCAGGTGGTTGTGGAGTGCCCCGTGTATGACATTGTGTCACGGATGGCTGTGAGTGTCCCCGTGTAAAATTGTGTCACAGATGGTTGTGAGTGTTATCTTGAACATTGTGTCACAGATGGTTGTGAGCGTCCCCGTGTAACATTGTGTCCCAGATGATTGTGAGTGTCCATGTGTAACAATGTATCACAGATGGTTGTGAGTGTCCATGAGTAACAATGTATAACAGATGGTTGTGAATGTCCCCATTTAACATTGTGTCACAGATGGTTGTAAATGTCCCCATGTAACATTGTGTCACAGATGGTTGTAAGTGTCCCTGTGTAACCTTCTGTCAGAAATGGCTGTAAGTGTCCCCATGTAACATTGTGTCACAGATGGTTGTGAGTGTCCCCGTGTAACATTGTCTTATACATGGATTTGAGTGTACATATGTAACATTGTCTCACGCATCGTAGTGAGTGTACACATATGCTATTGTGTCCCAGATGGTTGTAATTGACCCTGTGTAACGTTGTGTCACAGATGGTTGTGAGCGCCCCCGTGTAACGTGGTGTCACAGATGGTTGTGAGGTCCCCGTGTAACCTTCTGTCAGAAATGGTTGTAAGTGTCCCCGTGCAACATTGTGTCACAGATGGTTGTGAATGTTCTCGTGTAGCTTTGTGTCACAGATGATTGTGAGCGTTCTTGTGTATTATTGTATCACAGATGGTTGTGAGCGTCCCTGTGTAACATTGTGTCACAGATGGTTGTGAGCGTCCCCGTGTAACATTGTGTCACAGATGGTTGTGAGCGTCCCTGTGTAACATTGTATCACAGATGGTTGTGAGCGTCCCCGTGTAACATTGTATCACAGATGGTTGTGAGCGTCCCCGTGTAACATTGTCCCACAGATGGTTGTGAGTGTCCCTGTGTAACATTGTGTAACAGATTGTTGTGAGCGTCCCCGTGTAACATTGTGTCACAGATGGTTGTGAGCTCCTCCTTGTAACATTGTGTCACAGATGGTTGTGAGTAGGTTTACAAATGTAGGTTTACATTCAGAAAAGTTATACCTATCAGTTAGAGATCCATTAGTGAGACACCTACTAGTTAGACACCCATTAGTCAGGCACTCGCTAGTTAGTCACCCACTAGTCAGACACCTATCAGTCAGACACCCACTAGGTAGTGGCGAGTCTGGCGATGGTGTACTTGAAGCAGCCCTTGATTCTGGCAACGTGCTCCTGCGTCGCTCCCATTTGCAACATGCCAAATGCTGTTTGGCAAATTTGTTGACAACTGACTTTCATTATTTATTTCGTGTCGTTTCTTTTGCCCTTTAGTTTTCGTAGGTCTTCTGTGGCTGTCAAAGATGTAATTTTCCAATTTTTAAAATTTTAAAAAATACCAATATAATAAATATATATATCTCTTTTATTTATCATATTGAAATATAATCATGGTAGTATTTGACAACAGACAGCAACCATTCATCCACAACATCTTTTGATACACCGTGCACCAATTAACCCTTAAATAACAAAATAGATTTCAGTGATTTTCTTTTGTTCTTGACTCTAAAACCTGAAGACATGTCCATTCCAATTTTGTACTGATTTCAAAAGCTCCATACAAATCCGTACAAAGAGAGAGATATTGCTTGGTTCAGTAAATGTACCACCAAATCCCTGTCTCAAAGACTAACCATAATCCTTAATACAATCAAGGAAGGACTTTCTTTATATTCAGATAAAGTATTTGAGACAAATGGAATTAATACCATGTGGATGTTTGACTTTTTTGCAATCTCAGAAATGAACATTTGATTTTTTCAATTTTGTACACAACTATCCCACATGACAAACTTAAGGAAAAACTTCATTCCTTGATCCATGGGGCTTTTGTTACAAAACGTGGTGAACACAGATACAGTTACTATCTCTTTTCAGAGGTTCAAGACAATTTGTGAAAAATGAAAGCAACTGCCATCTGAAATTTCCTGAGAAAACAAGATGTGAAATTCTGTACTTCCTCATCGATAACATCTACGTAGAATTTGGGGGTAAGACATTTAGGCACGAAGTAGGCAACCCTATGGGCACCAATTGTGTTCACCTTCTTGCGGATCTATTTCTTTGTGCATATGAATCGGAATTTCTGTTCGGATTGGCAAAGTCAAAACAAGGTAATTTGGCTAAGAAGTTTAACTTAAGCTTCAGGAAAAGCGATGATCTGATATTATTCAATAACAATCAAATAGCAAATTCCCTTCCACTGGTTTACCCACCTGAACTAGAAATAAAGGAGACCGGTGAGACCGCTGTTTCATATCTAGATCTATGCATAAAGATTCAGAGTGACAAAACGCTCTTCACAAGAATGTATGACAAGAAGGATGACTTCAACTTTCCAATACTCAACTTTCCAAAAGTCAACTTTCCCTTCATGTCGAGCAATATTCCAGCAGCTCCAGCCTTTGGTGTTTACATTTTCCTTGTTTTGATTTGTACTGTAGGTTCCCATATTTTTTTCAGGTGAACAATTGACTTACCTTTTGCATGTGTTTGTGATGAGTGCCACCGTTGGGGCAGGATACGCTCAACTTTTCGCCAACACCTGGTATAATCACTATTTGATAAACACATGCTTATGATATAGTCGGAATCATACAATCGACTCTGATACATGCAGATATTTCTACTGGATATGGAAAGGGTTCTGTCGTTTATTTGAAAATTGTATTATGATATCTAGTTGATGACATAATTTGTCAGTGCCTGTTTCTATTACAATTTCATGAAAACATTTGTCACCTCCCTCATGCTCATGATATCAATCACTGGATTGTCTGGTCAAGACTGGATTATTTACAGGCCGCCGTCACATAACTTGAATATTGCTGGGTGCGACGTTAAACAACAAAACAAAGAAGAAGAAATAGCTTCACAATCTTTTTCCGAATAATAGCTTCAAGCATTCAGGTTGAACGTCTTCCCAGTGACTGAAGGCCCCAGAATACGATCCAAACTAAGTTTTACTCATCGAATATCTTCTCTTTAACAGGTTCCAGGATTGCAGTATAATCAGCAGAAGTTAAATCTATCACACGCATGCCAGAGATAGATTCACGTCTTTCCATGATCCTCTTAAATATGTCCCCAACATGAAGCATGTGGCTCAGATTGTAGACACGCCTTGGTATCTGGATCCGAAGAATGTGTTGGGGTTTCGGATTCTCTCTCTCATTGCTCTCATCAAGTTTCAAAATATCATCGATCTGAATACAACGGATTCCACCTTCAATATACAAAGCGCAATGAAGAGCAAAGGCTGGATACTGGCAAGTGGGAACATGTGGAAGGCATTTTGCTCCATTAATGTATAGTCCACATCCTATGGGGTCGATGACATGAACGCCAGCCTTCTTCAAGATGTCTCCGAACATGTACGTGCTGTCAACTCGATACTGAAGAAACTTATCATCAATGTTCTCCAATAGGCCAACTGTCATGGCCTCCATATCCCTACCCGTTAGTCCTCCATACGTCTTGAACCCTTCGGTATAGAACATCCTGACGGATGCTTTGTCATAAACACCCTGCTGGTTTGTGGCCAGAAACGCTCCTGTGTTACACAGCCCATCTTTCTTGGCTGAGACATAGACATGGTGGAAGTAGGAGAACATCTTCAGGGCAATGTCTTTACAGGACATGAGACTATATTCCTTGTCGCGTGTCTTGATGAAGTAGGCATTCTCTGCGAACCGACATCCATCCATGATCAAGGGAATATCAAAGCTGTGACAAATGTTTGACAGGTCTTGGATATTGGACATTGAGACTGGCTGCCCTGCTTGGCTTGTGCTTGCAACGACCAACACAACGATTGCACCTTCTGGCCCCATCGTCTCTAGTTCCTCCTTGAGCCTCCCACAGTCAATATTCGCATTGAAGGAACTTTCTGGACTTCCAACACATGGAATATCTACAACCTGTAAACCATTAATATCAGCATTTCCACGTGTTGTGGCGTATAGAGTGTTACTGAAAATGGTCATTCCTGGCTTCGACAGAATGGAAAACAAGAGACGTTCTACAGCCCTTCCTTGGTGAGCAGGAAGCATGTATTGAAATCCCGTCAGAGATTTCACGCAATCCTCTAACTTCTTGAAGCTGCATGATGAGAAGTAGCCCTCATCTGCTTGCATCATCGCTGCCCACTGATGTTGACTCATGGCCCCGGTACCTGAATCAGTTCCAAAATCAAAAGTCACGTGACGACTATCCAGTTTGAATGGATTCGAACCGCTGTCTTTCAGTATTTTTATCCGTTCTTCCCTTGTCAGGAATGTGAGGGGTTCCACCATCTTAATGCGGAATGGTTCCATGAATGACATCTGTAATTCAGAAACACATTGCTTTATCCATACAGTGAACACTGTTATATAACGCATTGAAACAAATATATAACACATCATGATAAACATTTAAGTGTCATGATCACGTGTGTGTGTGAATACTTTTATGTCCTGAAAAACATGGAAAATGACACAAAATGTGTTGGGCTGCCATTGTTTATTTGCATTTAAGTACAGTCTAAAGTCTTAATCTAAATAACAAGCTAAATCCTTCCCTGTATATTTACACTTTCCCGATCCCTCTGTCACTTTACGTGACTTCAATAGAAGTCAGAATATCCTTACATCTGACTGCCCCAAGATTCTGTTCGTCACAATATCCCTACATCTGACTGCCCCGACATTCTGTTCGTCACAATACCCCTACATCTGACTGCCCCGAGCTTCTGTCAGTCACAATATCCCTATATCTGACTGCACTTCATATCAGTCTTCAATTGTTACTTTTTAGTTTAACAATGTGAATTAAGATGTTCACTGTTTACAAATCTCACCTCGTAAAAGTGTAATCTAAGTGAGTGAGGTGACGTGGTGGAGGACAGTAAGTTGATTAATCCCTCTTGAAATGAAAGTGATAATATTGGTCACATTACAATCATAGTCTGACTCAAAAGGAGACAAGCACATACCTAGCCTGACATTATGTAAATTCTGTCTTGCGAAATCACGACTTTTAATTACAAATAGTGTGTCGATGACCGCCACAGAATGGTTGAGTTCAAGCTGGTACCCATCCATGCACGCATTGATGGAAGAACGCAAAGTATCACGACCTTTAATTGAAACTATTGTGTTAATGACCGTCAAGTATGGTGACTGTGTAAAACAACGTTTTATGTTGATACACATGCATGCACTGAAGGAAGAACGCAAGGTAAATAACCTGGTAGAGACCAGTTTGTTGTGAGTGTCCCCACGTAACATTGGGTCTCAGGTGGTTGTGGAGTGCCCCGTGTATAACATTGTGTCACAGATGGCTGTGAGTGTCTATGTATAACATTGTGTCACACATGGTTGTGAGTGTCCCCGTGAAACATTGTGTCACACATGGTTATAAGTGTCCCCGTGAAACATTGTGTCACAAATGGTTGTGAGTGTCCCCGTGTAACATTGTGTCACAGATGGTTGTGAGTGTCCCCGTGTAACATTGTGTCACAGATGGTTGTAAGTGTCCCCGTGTAACATTGTGTCACACGTGGTTTTGAGAGTACATATGTAACATTGTCTCACACATGGCTGTGAGTGTACACATTGTGTCCAAGATGGTTTCGAGTGCTCCGGTGTAACTTTGTGTCAGAGACGGTAGACAGTGTCCATGTACAACACTGTATCATATATGGTTGTGAGTGTCCCCGTGTAACATTGTGTCACAGATGGCTGTAAGTGTCCCCCTGTAACATTGTATCATAGATGGTTGTGATTGTCACCATGTAAGATCGTCTTACAGATGGTTAGGATTGTCAGCGTGTAACAATGTGTCACAGATGGTTGTGAGAGTCTCCGTTTTGAAATGAGTTATATATAGTAATAGGTGTTCATATGTAACATATATTACAGATATTTGTTCTCACATAACATATGTTCCAGATCGTTGAGTGTGTAGCATTATGTTTATACAGTGACTGGTTAGGTTAAGGTGAGATTTCCGAAATGGAAACGTCAAGGTTCACCCAGAAAATTGGTTGGAGCAAAACCAAATTATGGAATCAATAAATAAGCACACAAAATCAGTGAATAATTAACAAATCATATTGAAAAACACAGATGTAGGTTTACATTCACAATAGTTATACCTATCAGTTAGACATCCTTAAGTCTGACACCCACTTGTTGGACACCCAACAGTCAGACTACCACTAGATAGACACCCATTAGTCAAACACCTTCTAGTAAGGCACCCATAAGTCAGACACCCACTAGTTAGACACCCATTAGTCAGACACCCAATTGTTAGTCACCCACTACTCAGGCACCTATCAGTCAGACACCCACTAGTTAGACCCCCATCACTCACACATCCAATAGTTAGACACCCATCAGTTAGACATCCACTAGTTTGAGACCCATCAGTGAGACAACCACTAGTTAGATACCCATCAGTTAGATATCCCTTGGTTGGACACCCATCAGTCAGACACCCGATAGTCAGACACCCATCAGTTAGACATCCAATATATAGACACCCATCAGTTAGACACCCACTAGTTAGTCACCCATCAGTTAGACATCAACTAGTTAGACACACATCAGTCAGACACCCACTATTTAGATACCCATTAATCAGACTCCCATCGGTTAGACAGCAACACGACCACTAGTTAGACACCCATCAGTCACACCCCATCTAGTTAGACACCCATCAATCAATCACCCACTGGTTAGACACCCATAAGTTAAACATACACTAGTCAGACACCTATCAGTCAGACACAAATCAGTCACCCAGCCACAAGTTAGTCACCCATCAGTAAGACACCCATTAGTTAGACACTCATCAGTTAAACACCCATCAGTCAGACACCCACAAGTTAGACACCCCTCAGTTATACATCCACACCCATCTGTAAGACACCCATTAGTTAGACACCCATCAGTTGGACACCCATCACTCACACATCCACTTGTTAGACACCCATCAGTAAGACACCCACTAGTTGGACAATCATAAGTCAGACACCCACTAGTTGAAAACCCATCAGTCAGAAACCCACTGGTTGGATACCCGTCAGTTAGACACCAACTAGTTAGACACCCATCAGTAAGACACCCACTAGTAAGTCACCCACAAGTTGGTCACCAATAAGTTAGACACCCTCTTACTGGACACCCTTTTTTTTAGAAAGTACACCCACCAGTAAGACACCCATCGGTCAGACCTTCACTTGTTAGACACCCATCAGTCGGATATTCAATAGTTAGACAAATATCAGTCAGACACCCACTAGTTAGACACCCATCAGTCAGACACCAACTAGTTTGTCACCCATCAGTCAGTCACCAACTAGTTAGACACCCACTAGTTTGACATTTATCAGCCAGACACCCACTGGCTAGACACCCATCAGTCAGTCACCTACTAGATGGACAGTCACTTATCAGACTGTGAGGTTGGTGCTTAAGAGGACAAGACCCACATCTGTAATGAAACAGTCATTTTTGAACGCTCTACTCACAAAATGAGTAAACATGAGGGTAAGTGTTGTCAGTTTTGCGGAGCAAGGAATGCATCACGTCAAGAGCTGCTTCCGTCACTCAAACTGAAAATCTTGGACTTTCCGTGCTATACAAGGAAGATCTACAAGTGAGTCCTCAACACGTGGGCATAGCTAGACTAATAGTATTTGCTCCTCTGAAGTCTGTCTTGCGAAATCACGGCCTCTAATTAAAATTATTGTGTTAACGACCGTCAAATATGGTGTGTTCAAACAACGTTTTATGTTGTTACCCATGCATGCACTGAAGGAAGAACGCAAGGTATCCAGCATCAGAGAAACCAGATACTTGTGAGTGTCCCCACGAAACATTGTGCCTCAGGTGGTTCTGGAGTGCCCCGTGTATAACACTGTGTCACAGATGGCTGTGAATGTGCAAATGTAACATTGTGTCTCGGATGGTTGTGAGTGTCCCCGTGTAACATTGTGTCACAGATGGTTGTGAGTGTATACATGTCACAATGTGTCACAGATGGCTGTGAATGTGCACATGTAACATTGTGTCTCGGGTGGTTGTGAGTGTCAGAGTGTAATATTGCGTCACATATGGTTGTAAATGTCCGAGTGTAACATTGTGTCACAGATGGTTGTAAGTGTCCGAGTCTAACATTGTGTCACAAATGGTTGTAAGTGTCTCCATGTAACATTGTGTCACAGATGGTTGCAAGTGTCCGAGTGTAACATTGTGTCACAGATGGTTGTAAGTGTCCCCGTGTAATATTGTTTCACAGATGGTTGTGAATGTGCACATGTAACATTGTGTCACAGATGGTTGTAAGTGTCCGAGTCTAACATTGTGTCACAAATGGTTGTAAGTGTCTCCATGTAACATTGTGTCACAGATGGTTGTGAATGTGCACATGTAACATTGTGTCACAGATGGTTGTGAATGTGCACATGTAACATTGTGTCACAGATGGTTGTAAGTGTACGAGTGTAACATTGCGTCAGATATGGTTGTAAATGTCCCCGTGTAACATTGTGTCACAGATGGTTGTGAATGTGCACATGTAAAATTGTGTCACAGATGGTTGTAAGTGTACGAGTGTAACATTGCGTGACATATGGTTGTAAATGTACGAGTGTATTATTGTGTCACAGATGGTTGTAAGTGTCCGAGTCTAACGTTGTGTCACAAATGGTTGTAAGTGTCTCCATGTAACATTGTGTCACTCATAGTTGTAAGTGTCTCCGTGTTACATTGTGTCACAGATAGTTTTTAGTGTCCGAGTGTAACATTCCGTCACATATGGTTGTAAGTGTCCCAGTGTAACATTGTGTCACAGATGGTTGTAAGTATCCGAGTGTAACATTGTGTCACAAATGGTTGTAAGTATTCCCGTGTAACATTGTGTCACAGATGGTTGTAAATGTCCCTGTGTAACATTGTGTCACAAATGGTTGTAAGTGTCCCCGTGTAACATTGTGTCACAGATGGTTGTAAATGTCCGAGTGTAACATTGTGTCACAGATGGTTGTAAGTATTCCCGTGTAATATTGTGTCACAGATGGTTGTAAGTGTCCGAGTGTAACATTGCGTCAAATATGGTTGTAAATGTCCGAGTGTAACATTGTGTCACAAATGGTTGTAAGTGTCTCAGTGTTACATTGTGTCACAGGTTGTAAGTGTCCCCGTGTAACATTGTGTCACAGATGGTTGTGAGTGTCCCCTTGTAGCATTGTGTCACAGATGGTTGTGAGTTTTCCCGTGTAGCATTGTGTCACAGATGGTTGTGATTGCCCCCTTGTAACACTGTGTCACAGATGGTTATGAGTGTCCCTGTACAACATTGTGTCACAGATGGTTGTGTGTGTCCCCTTGTAACATTGTATCACAGATGGTTGTGAGTGTTTCTCGTGTAACCTTTTGTTTCAGATGGTTTTGAGTGTCACCGTAAAACATTGTGTCAGAGATGGTTGTGGGTGTTACCTTGTAACATTGTGTCACAGATGGTTGTAAGTGTCCCCGTGTTACATTGTCACACACATGGTTGTGAGTGTCCCCATGTAACTTGTAATGTGTTATATACATTATAATAATTTTTGATTGCAGTTTCAGTTGACATGAGAAAATTCAATTTGTGTCTTGATAGAAAGACATAAACGTTTACTTGAATATTCAAACATTATATACAAATGTACTCAAATGCCAATCATTCTTTGTATGTCTTTAATCGGCCAACGTGGATATACGAGGCGACCTGAAATTTACATTTAATGTAAGGGGTTTAACTACATCTCAAAGATTAATTCACACATATTAGCGACGTACATGTACATGTGTTTAGTTGAATATTCAAACATAATATACAAATTTACTCAAATGCCAATCATTCTTTGTATGTCTTTTATCGGCCAACGTGGATATACGAGGCGACCTGAAATTTTCATTTAACGTAAGGGGTTTAACTACATCTCAAAGATTAATTCACACATATTAGCGACGTACATGTACATGTGTGCTGGCTCATTGGTGGCACCCGTCACAAACACATGCAAAGGGAAGTATATTCTTCACCTGAAATAAGACGGGAACATATATATGGTACAAGTCAAAATAGGGAATTGCATCGAACATCATTTGTGCCACTGATACGGCAAATTTGGAAATGTCCTCCACATGTCTACCATAATACGTTTTTAAAGTTTTACCGAGGCCTTGAATGTTGCAACCTTTATCAAGCAACTTCCGAGCAAGAGTTGTATGAAGCTGTTTGAAATCTTGGTAGAAACAGCATGCTCGATTGTACCTCAAGAGTAGTGAAATATAAACAGCAAGGGCTGGAGCTGCAGGAATATTGCAGTTTATATTAGTTTCCACCGTTGTCATCTATTTACTCATGTTGTTCTTACGTGTTCATATATACGTTCTCTGCCTAATAACATTCATGATGAAGGAGTAAATATTCCAAAACGCAGTGTTCGTCGTAATGAAGAAATTGCATCCATAAATTCTCTTTCTTATGTGTTTGACTTCTAATGCCATTCAAAGACTTGCCTATTGGATGGTTACTGAACAATACCAGATAATCGATATACCTCAAGGTTAAGTAAACCATCAAATTTCCCTGTTCTGACTTTGCCAATCCGAGCTACCTGACACACAGAACTGTTGATCTCTAGATCTGTGATAGCAATACGGGTCAAGACCTGTGTGAAGTAGTAAATATGTTTCAACTTAGCCGGTTAGTTCAGTATAGCTAAGAATATCTACATTTAGGTTAGGTATTTCAGATTAGATTTAAGAGTGCGTGGGTGTGGGTGTAGAACCGTGGGAGAATGTACATAAGAAAGAATAATAACTCAGGTTAACAATCGCATTGTCATCTCATTCTACCGGGTGTCTTTCCTATGTAAGATGAACGGAAGCACTTCTTTCGAACGAGGAAGCTTGCCTCAGTCAAACAGTCACACAGCTGCCAGCCGTCACTTGCTGTCCTCACCACGGCTTATGTAGATCAACTGTCATCACCCCTGCTAATGTAGGCCTACTCACTGTAGTATCAACTGTCATCACCACGGCTAATGTAGCCCCATTCACTATAGTATCAACAGTCATCACTACGGCTAATGTAGACCTACTCACTGTAGTATCAACTGTCATCACTACGGCCAATGTAGCCCCATTCACTATAGTATCAACAGTCATCACTACGGCTAATGTAGCCCCACTCACTGTAGTATCAACTGTCATCACCACGGCTAATGTAGCCCCACTCACTGTAGTATCAAGTGTCTTCACTACGGCTAATGTAGACCTACTCACTGTAGCATCAACTGTCATCACCACGGCTAATGTAGGTATACTCACAGTAAACACTGACAGCTGACTGGTGAATAGTTAACAGCAGGCTAAATGGTGAATACATGTCGTTAAGGCTAACTTCAGATAGACGAATTGGTAACAACTGTCCGACGAATAGTACGTAAACGAATTGGTAACAGCTGACTGGTGAATAGTTTATCAGCGGACTGGTTAGTAGTCAATCTGCAGTGCCAAAGGGAACTGAAAGTCAATGTCGGAAAAGCACTCCTTACATCTTGAGGCAGAGAATTACTAAAGTGTTGGCTTCCATTGTCTATTGCTAATCACGTATCAGCGCCAGTTACCCGTTGGCTTCCCATGCTAAGTTTCCAGCTTTTGTTTTCTTCTTACTTTTGTTGTTCTTACAGGTACATATATACGTTCTCTGCCTCATAGTATTAATTCACCTGATGAAGAGTAAGCATATACTCAAAAAAGTTGTGTTCCTAATAATAAAGAAGTTGACATCCATACATTCTCTTCCTTATGTGTATCACTCAAAGACTTGATCCTTGCATCTTCATCCCTGCAATGGACACGTAATAACTCGATCTTTATCTGATAAAACCAAAAACAAGGTTTCCCTGTAGCTTGACATTTCGAAGTAAGTATGTAGTGAGTGCAGGAGGTCAGTCGTGCAGTGAAGTCGGTTTTTGTCGAATTGGAAGTCCAACAAGGGTATAGTACGTAATTATGCAATAATTTATTTACTTTTCTTTCATTTTCTCTTCTCAGTTGCAGACACAGAAAGAAGGGGGGCATTGGCCTGCAGCGCAGTTGTTGACACACCATTGATCTTGACCTGCTAGCCCCTCCCACACACCTGTAGCTCGACAGACACCTCCCGGTACTGGGGGCCGATGTGGGGTTGGGTGTAGTAGGGAACGACTGTGTGGGAGATTTTCCTGACTCAATGATCCTAATGTCAGGTCAGTTGACGAAGTGTTCCTGAGGACCAAGCCCAAGACCAGGTCCTTCCTCGTCAGTTCCCCAGTTATTACCTGGGAAATTGGAGACACATTATATCCGCCAATACACGACAGGAAGTGACGTCATCTGGACCGGAAGTGACATCATAGACGAATAGATTTTTGTAGACAAAGAAATATTGAGCCCCCGATGACGTCAGAAGTGGATAATGGAAGTAAATATAACGGTAGTTCTCTGGAAGTTTATCACATACTGACTGTGGCTAATCTGAAGATATATACTCTTCAAAATAGAAACGCAATACGGATATCTATGGCCATAAAAGCAAAATTAGCGGACCAACAGGTGCAAAATGAAGAGGTTTAATGTATTATAATGTCAGTGACAACGATATGCAAACCAGTAGTCGGGAAACACGTACGATTCTGAAAAACGTACCCAGTGTATTAACAAAAGGGCCATGGAGCTGCACGTATGATTTAATGATTTCATGTGTTGCAGATAATCGATGAAATGGAATGCACATTTGAGGGTAATGTGTACTGCTGTAAGTGATGCCATTGCTTGGCTGGCGAGTCTTTACAATACAGCGTTGCTTCATTGAGAAAGTCCATAGTTGGATGCAGTGATGTTGCTTGGCCGGCGGGCCTTTATAATACAGCGTTGCTTTATTGTGAAAGTGCAGTGTTGGATGAAATGACATTGCTTGGCCGACGGGCCTTTATAATACAGCGTTGCTTTATTGTGAAAGTGCAGTGTTGGATGCAATGATATTGCTTGGCCGGCGGGCCTTTATAATACAGCGTTGTTTTATTGTGAAAGTGTGCATTGTTGGATGCAATGATATCGCTTGGCTGGCGAGTCTTTATAATACAGCGTTGTTTTATTGTGAACGTGTGCATTGTTGGCTGCAATGATATTGCTTGGCCGGCGGGCCTTTATAATACAGTGTTGCTTTTGATAATACTGCATATACTATGCGAGTTGCACTGTATATAATAAATTATGAAATTCATTTGTAACATATGTTCATGAATTGTTAGTATTTCTGTTTGGATTTGCATATACATGTCATGAGTATACTGTTTTCCCTCCAGTATTTGCTGCTGCATCCGTTCAGGGAACACGGTTCCAGATGTTTTCTTATAAAAGTTTTTATATCTGGCTTTACGTGTCGGGCTTCAGCAAAATATAAATATTCATAGCAGATTGCTGACAATGAATATACAAATGTGTATAAATGAATATCTTTGTCTCATACTATACGCAAATAAATAGGCCGTGTATCACACAGCGTATTCCCATGTTAATGGTGTTGTGTCTTGATTAAGTATGTAGGGGATAAGGAGAATTTCATTTTTTGATACCATGGGGACATCGATGCGGATCCACGATTGTGCACACAGGCTGTGGTTGTTCAAGATGCCTTGTGACATAAACAATTTCGGTTACTATTTGAATTTGTCTCGGCAGATATTCGAGATTGATTATTCTCTGGCGTTGACGTTATGAATTGCCTTTTCAGCTGGCTGCTTGGAAATGTAGAAGCTTTGAACCTCACAAAATTTTATGTTAAGCAAATCAATGTAAACACGTACACAAAATTTTATGTAAAGCAAATCAATGTAAAAGCGTACACATACCTGCTCGGTAGACTCACTGCAGCTCACAGTGAGAACAAGAAACACCTACAGGAAGCTTTGCTTTGAACTTAAAGCCCTCACCTCTGACCCTATCTCGTTCTTCTCTTTGACGCCAGAGGGCGTTATCAACTTCAGAACTGTGTTGTCGAGACACGTCTGAAGGGCGTCTCTCTTTAGGTCTCCATCAGCGCAAAGCTTTATCGTGAAGTACCCGAGATGATTGGCTGTTAGCTGGATAGTGACATCAATGTCCTGTCCCTGTGTGTACTGGGCGCCAATTGTCCCCGTGTCGTACTCCCCGCTATCATTAGGAAGTGGTCCCTGATACGGGTCGCCACAGGTCCCGCACTTGCCGTCATTTGTCTCCCACTGGTTCTTGAAATGGATCACACGAATAATTAACAACCGCAAGTAACCACTGGTACACGTTATTTACAGCAATGGTGACGAAATATACAGCCTGATACCTGAACTCCATGCACCTTACAACAATACAACAGTACCCTATACCGCATAATAGTTTTTCCAAGCTCGCTATGGATTCAGCAACTGAGGCCTTACATATAAAAATATGTTTTGTTGTTTTTATAATAATACAGATTAAAATGTATAAATTCAGACAAGAGAGTTTGAGTGACCCTGGCACAATCAGGCTGGTTAGGCTCATCATCAGCTCAGGGCCGTTCCCCTTCCATATGCAGCTCAGACAGCCTACGGGACTTCTCCCAGGAAACGTGTCTTGTTGAATCCACCAAGAACTTTCCGGTGAATATGAAGACTCCCCAACAGTGCAGCCTTCTGCTTTACCTAGATTATCAGAAAGGCAGAAAATCCTTGTTCTCTCCCATAGTCGGTCAACAGATTGGGAGGTACCAAAGGCACCGAGAACAATGGGGAGTCGGAGAACTTCCTGTTTGGGATGCAAGCGTGACATATCGTAAGGGAGGTCCGCATATTTGCCATGTTTTCCCTGAATCTTGCCAATCACATTAGTGTCAAAAGGGACAGAGAATTCAATGATATAATGATTTAATTGGATTTATCAAAAAGGACAAGATCAGGCTGGTTGGCCTGGATAGGTCTGAGGCTGTATACTGGCCTATTTCAATTTTATATGTATAATTTTCCATGACGACCTCTACTGAATCTGGGTCGGACACGCACGGCGAAGACGGTAATAAAAGGACCGAGCCACGCCATCATATCACTAAAGATACTGTGTTTGTGCCAAACAGGCTAGGCATCCATTGGCAATGTGTTTGAATGTCTCAATAAATTCATTGCATAATCTACTTTTCATCTTTACATTTTAATGCAAGATAACACATTGACGGCTTCGAATGGATGGGGGGTGACTGGTCTTGGGCAGCAAACAGAAGGCCTTCTGTTTTACTTTTCAGGCCAGCCAACTTCACCCAAGCGAAGGACGCTGCAGGGTTGCTGATCCTCTCAACACACTGTATATGATCATAACTCGATGCAGTGGTGGTTCAGACAGCCTCCCCTGGAACAAACTGAGTCTGGGCCTATTTGATGTGGCACTTCGCTAGGTTGACACTCATTTCCGTACCGTGCCTTTGGAATACCTTGTTTTCATCATGAGTCTTGACATGCTTCAAAGTGGATCATCAGACAAATACGTGTATGCAAAAGTGCACAATAGATTTCTATCACGAAGAGCCTCCACGTTAATCAAACCATGCCCTTCCTTTATAATTGGTAAATATAAGCGATTGAGGGAAGATCGAGGATGGTGGGATCTATTGTCAGACATGATTCTTCGTGTGAGGGTGTCAATACCGTGAATTTATTGTTTCGTTTAATCAACAACACCAACAGAATAAGAAAAGACGTGTACAGCATACATACTTTTGGCTTTAACTCCATTGAAAGCGTTCAACTCTGAACTTCAGATTTATTTAAGTCCACATTTGTGCTATGCAAGAAGTGTTTCCTTCATATGGGCATTCTGGAGTTTGTCCCTAACCTGCACCCCTAAGTACGTAAACGTCTTACCGAAAACCCTCCACAGAACAGTTGATTATCACCGTAGTTTGCAGGAACAGAGAACCCCGCCCTCCACATGCTCGACCGATCCGGGGGGGACCAACAGGTACCCGTGACCTCTGACCTCCGAGAGGGATAGAAGCAGTACAAGGCAAACTGATTTTGACATAAGGCCCCTCATAATGATTCAGTCTGTGATGTGAGACATATGCCTTGCCTTGAGAAACATGCATCTTTTATATAGAAATGTGATGTCTTGAGAAATATTCGTCTGTAATAAATATATGTATACCCTTGAGAAATATACGTCTTTTACACACGTATACTCTTGAGAAACATACGTAAGTTATATAGATATGTATAGCCTTGAGACATATACTTCCTTTATGTACATAATACGTATACCACTTGAGAAATATACGTTGTTTTTTATGCATACGCATAATCCTGACAAACATACATCCTTTATATACACACGTATACCCTTGAGAAATGTGCGTCCTTCATATACAGATGTATCGCCTTGAGAAATGTGCGTCCTTTATATACATGCGTATACCCTTGAGAAACTGGAGTCCTTTAATTACAGAGGTATACGCTTGAAAAATGGGCGTCCTTTAAAAATACGTATTCCTATTTAAAGTGCTTCAAGAAAATTCACTCACCTGATTCACTTAACAACATGATATGGATGTTAATCAAGTACGTAAACCCTTGGGTGTTTTGCAGAAGTGAAACACGTGATTGGATTGTGGTCCTGAACGTCCCTGAAATGGCATGTTGTTTATCAATGTCGGTGTATTAACATCTGCTCGGTCACAAGATAGCATGGACGTGTAAGGAGAACTCGTTCATAAGCATATTAAAATCCTTTTAGCATTTGTGGTCAACAGGTCATGTGTTTTATATCTACATTTGATATTAACATTTTTAGGCAACTATGACTTTACAATCTCTAGACGACACAATGTCATTCCATCATCGTAACGTCAATACATCATGACGGCATCGTTCCGTGTTCTAATGGTTGTGCGTCTGCCCTGGGAGCGGAAGGTGGGGAGTCGACCCCGACCGCATCCTACCAAAAGACGTTAAAAGATGGTACTTGTTGTAACCCTGCCTGGCGTTCGGCATTAGGTGAGATGAGGTGAAATTGGGTTTAACGTCGCGTTCAAGATTATTGCGCTTATATAGCGACGAGCATGTACGTGTGTGCGTGTGTGTGTGGCTGTTTGTACTAGTCCGGACTAATGCCGATCTATAGTGCCAGCTCATTGAGATACCATCCCGCAGTTTAACATGAATACCCCTCTCAGACACAGTATACTGACTCCGAGCCGACGAGTCCTTGTTTTAGCCCCTTAATACCGAGCGCCAGACAGGGTAACAACAAGTACCATCTTTTAACGTCTTTTGGTATGACGCGGCCGGGGATCGAACCCCGGACCTTCCGATCCCCGGGCGGACGCTCTACCGCAAGACCACGGAGGCGGCACGCGCGCCCGGCATTAAGAAGACAAGGACTGGTCGGCTCAGAGTCAGTATAATGAGTCTGTTAAACTGCGGCATAGTATCTCAGTAGGCTAGCACCATAGATCAGCATCAGTCACACACACACACACACACACACACACACACACACACACACACACACACACACACACACACACACACACACACATCGCTTTATAAGTACAATAATCTGGAACCTCATTTCAGATAACGGCATCGTAACGTGATAATGTCATTATGTCCTCAATACGTCACAATCTCAGCACATCATCGTGGTATCACAACGTCATATATCATCGTGAAATCATAACGTCAACATTTCATCATGGAACAATGGAATTACATCACCGTGACGTCACATGTCCGTTTTATCATCGTGAGGTCACAATGGCATGAAGTCATTGTGGCTTCACAACGGCATAACATCATCTTAACGTCAAGCTCCTGCTCCAGAGAGAAGACAAACGATTGATAGGGGGGTAGTCAAGGCGACGGTGATTATAGGGTACTTCATACAGCAACACCTAAATTTCCTCCTCGATGACTGGCGTCATCCATTTATTCCTAAATTCCTAAATCCTGGCTGGATGATCATGAAATAGTTCTAATTGTATTTGACATAGTCGAAGGAGACAGATCTGAGTGGTTCGTTCGGGTTTCTTAGCATACACAAAATGATGGTGAGCGGTTATCTACCCGGGGACGATTCTCAGGAGAAATAAAAATATTGATCAGAAACACTTCAGCTCATCTTGGTAAGTGGACAAAAGTTTGTGATGGTGATGTATTGATTTTACTAGATATGGATATATGCGCTTAAACGAAGGACTTGTTGTATGCAGGTGTATAAATTCAGTCTGGTAATAACCAGTAACGTCACTGAACATGCGGTATGTCACTATTACAAGATGATCAGTTGCCCACGTCATCTAATTATATTATTGTGTATATCACAGTTGAAGGTGATTTAAACCCTAGAACTAGTACGCTTCCTCATTTTGTTGAAAACGATATCCTTGAATGCTTGGAGGGTAATGGTAACAAGAGGCGGGATGTTTTATGTATAGTTTTAGAATGAAAACTTTCTCAAGATTCAAGTTATAGACAGATAGGTGCGGTGTTCTTAATATCCACATCATGATCGAAAGATGTGAGTCAGATGCGGGTGATGGGGATTTCACTTCTATAAGTAACCAAGACGCTAGCATGGTCGAGTATATGGTATGTTCATCTGAGTTATTTGATGAACGTATTGGTTTGGTGGTAAATTTTCCTCCTACAGTGCATCTACGCTCGCTTCATGCAACTGATCAGTGAGAAAGTGATCTATTGATGAAGCTTGGTCCGCGACACAGCAGATTACTTTGATATAATTGGTCATAAGATGATACATCCTATGTACTGGTAAAGGCAGTAGATACAGCATTCATTAGCATCGATGCTAGTGTTATATATATTACTGAAACCTTATGTATGGCTATATCAGATATGAAAAGAAACGTTTGCATTGACAAAACCGTATCATCAGTTTGCTTGTTTCGTTTGTTGTTTTACTCCCCACTCAGCAATATTCCAGTTACATGGCGGCGGTCTGAATATAACCGAGTCTGAACCAATCAAATCCAGTGATTGACACCATGACAATCGATCTACGCAATTGGGATACCATGACATGCATCAACCAAGTCAGCGAGCCTGATCACCCCGTCCCGTTTGTCTCACGGGAAGCACAGCTTGCTGAAGACCTATTCTACCCCGGATCTTCACGGGGCGGATAATCAATGGATTGATATTTGAAGGGAGTAAAATGCATATGTGTGAGTATATTTAGAAGGAGACAAGAATTGGTTTTATTGGAAAGTTTCACCGAATCCAGAATCAATATCATGTATCGTGTAGAAAAGTTAAATTTTATCAAATGAAACAATACTTTCTCGAGAAAAGCATTAATAATTCAAAAGACTTTTTGTCAACTGTTAAAACTCTGAGGGCCTAGGAACTCTCCAGAGGAAGCTGGTGACCCATCCAAGGACTCTCCGCGACCGACGTTGATCAACTTCACCTGATTTGTGACCTGTGACCTGTGACCTGTGCGCTGAGCGCTGTGCATAGGACCAGTTGCCACCAACATATCTCACTCTGTACGGAGCTTTGGAATCCAGAACAAAAAAAGGAATGGACATGTCTTCAGGTTTTAAAGTCAAGCCAAACGTTGATAGTACTGATGCACGGTTTGGACAGATTTCTTTTTCAGTTAACACATTGGCTTTATATGTGGCATCATTTGATATGTCACTTATACCAAATTCTAGGACAATTAATGTAAATAGCATACAAACAATGGTTATATTGTTTGTGGGATTTTCATGTAGGACAGCCAGACATTGGATGACAGATGGCTGTTACAGAATGGGTTTATTCCAGTTCTGTTTCCTCTTTTTCAGTTTGTGCATTCTACTAATTACAATATCACGCTGAGACCTCGCCCACTCTGAAAGACATGTAACCAGGCTTTTACATTAATATCAATTCTTTAAAACATATATGTTTCTTTTCTTTTCGAGACTGATTGGATACAGTTCATTATTTAAACCTAATTAGTACCTTGCACAACGGACATTTAATTAAACATTTCAAGTTTTATCAATATATTGATAGTGGCACATATAGTTCAGGGGAATTTACAACATGTTTCACAAACTGCCTTTTCCCCCGTCCAATGGGTGATACGGATAGGGTACATACTTGAAAAGGAAACGGTAGGTTTGTCCGGTGGAGATTTAGCGTTAATATTGTTATTGGGCCTATTGGAGAAAAAATAATAGAAAGTAGTGATGAAAGTTTAGTCCCCGTCACACATCACTCTGGACGGAAGGACAATGGTGCGATATGATTGCAATGGCCATTAACAGATACATTCCTTGAACACGGTGAGTGTTAAATCACACATATCCTTAAGATTGATGTTGAAATATTATTCCTTGCAGGCTACAATAATGTTCAGCAAGTTGGACTTTAGGCTAGTTTAGTGTCATTCACTCTATTTTAAGAGGTATTTTGATATTATATATTAATTAATAATTCTATTAAACAGGTAAGACATCACAGCAGTGACATGTTTGATTTTGTTTGTTGTTTAACGCCACATTCCAGCTTTATGACAGGCGGTCTGAAAAAAAATCGAGTCTGGACCAGACAATCTAGTGAATAACATCACGAGCAACGATCCACGCAATTGGAATACGATGACATGCATCATCCAAGTCAGCGAGCCTGCCCATCCGTTCCCGTTAGTCGCCTATTACGGAAAGCATGGGTTGGTGAAGATCTATTCTAACCCGTATCTTCACGGGCCTACAGTGACATGTGTTCCTATAACATAATTGACATAACTGTAGAATAAATCAAGGGGTTTTGTACTGATACAAGATATCAATTCGAACTACTTATACAAAACTGTTAATTAAGATTGAACCTAAAACGAATTGCAGCGTCTCGCTCGGAGTCCCACAGCCTGTAACCGACGCGTGTGGTCCTATCAGACACTGGTTCTTGTGGTCTGTGTTGACGTCAGAAATCCACTTACTTGAGCGGGGTTATATATATAGATTTGAAAAAAAATATATATCTAATTTTTATTTTGTACCCTAAAATCAGTGAGTGAGTGAGTGAGTGAGGTTTTACGCCGCTTTTAGCAATATTCAAGCAATATCACGGCGGGGGACACCAGAAATGGGCTTCACACATTGTACCCATGTCGGGAATAAAACCCGGGTCTTCGGCGTGACGAGCTAACGTTTTAACCACTAGGCTACCCGACCGCCCCGTACCCTAAAATGTTTTTATTTAGACGTTTGTGCGGCATATTCCTTGAAAAATACAGTATGGATTCATTTCAAATTTAAGGAACAGTTTCCATACCACAAGAAGAGGTGCAGTGCAAAGGTTTGTTATGTTTGTTATGGATTGTCTGAGAACATGTTGCTATTTTCACGTTTTGAACTTAGAAATATGTTGTAGTAGAGGTCGTGGGGTATGATTGAGCCCTACCCACCTTTTGCTTTCTTCACCAGATCCAATGTCAGGATCCAAAACACAAGATGAAACGAAACGCACGCTTTGGACACTTTGCATGTCCTCTTCAAGCGAAGTATGGCTTCTGTCGGATCGCTATCGTTGCATCAAAAGTCAAGTGGTCATAACCATATAAACATGTTGCCAGAACAGAACTCCTGTCATCTCTGATGCAAAACCTATGTCCTAAACTTTGGTTTGATATACAGAACTGTGTACGTGATTTTCTTTTGCCCTTCAGTAATTGTGTTGTACTATGGCAGATGTGCAATTCGAATTTGTATGTATACGTTTATGAGCATTATTCAAAATTCTCCTGTTTAATGCGCATATGTGTTTTACATATCATAATTCACTTTATGATAATTGTAAATAGATATTGATGTTCATGAGAGCCAGTATAGTTTAGTTTGGAATATTTGACACAACAAAACAAGAGAGTTTGGATTGAGTGGGGATTGGCTATAACACAAGGTATTACCCCTTGTACTAAGACCTGGTTTCTCCTTGGCGAATACTTGTGCAGGCAATAAACAACATCTCACATGACATCGCGCATCTTCCATCAACCTGAGATATCACTGGGGAGGTTTCAATACCCAGCCAGTAGGTTGGTCGGTTGGAATTATACAACAGTGAACGAACTATCGGGGAATCAGTGGTTACGCTAAATTATGGTATGAAGGACGAAGAAGCGTGTGTTGGTGAAAATACAATACACGAGGGCGCGGACTTTCTTTCTTTGACATAAATAATTCAACGCTGGAGCCAACGTCAAAACAAAACCAACTACACCAAAGTCAAAATGAACAGGCGGTTCCCATGTTGTGGGTACCAAACGTAATGCACGTATTGAACGAATGGAATAGTTCATGTTGATCGGGTGGATACAAATTGACTGAAATTATTCGTTGGAAATGATGCACGTTCAGAACAATAGAGTGACGTCACAAGAATTATTGATGGGATGTTTCAAGTACGCCGCTTGTGTCTGTGTTTCATCAAGGGCTTGGAATACAAACCAACAAAAGGAGGTGAGATGCATGGACTAAAGTACCCAGCCTACTACTGGCAATCTCTACTCTTTTCTACTCGCTACGTCGCGATGACATTTCGTCACAGGTAATTATGGAAGGGACACGAGCCAATCGCATTCCTGTTACCTGACAGTATTTAGCTTTATAGTGAGGTAGCTGCAGATGAATAATGGCCCGACCGAACCAGTGTCATGGTAACAGAAGGCGAACCCATGTTGATCGGCAGTTTTAACGCAAGGACATCAAATGCGAATGATTACATTCTTGTTGACAATTTTGTTTTGGATGAGTTTGGTTGAGATGGGGAAAAATAAGAAAAGGTCTTGACTCTGAATTAATTTTAGATAATACCAACATATCAAAAGAGAGATATGGCATGGACAATGATAGAACGAATGATAATGGTAAACATCTTATTGAAATGTGTAGAAACCTTAATTTATTCATATGCAATGGCCGCATTTGTAATTTGTAATGATTACAAAATAGGTAAAACTACTTGTCATAATAAAAGTCTTCTTGATTATTTTATTGCTTCTGCACCATGTATATCTTTAAACAATGACTTTGATATTCTTGATTTTTCACCCCTTTATTCTGTTGTACACTGTCCAGTCGCTTTCTCCTTAGAAAGTTGTGCAAAAAAAGGCAGGACAAAGTTGACAAGCATGAACAACTGATGACCAAACAAAACCAACAACATACCAGTTGGATAAATCCAGTTTATTGCTTAATAACATGGACAATGTTTATATTGATATGTGGAGGTAAAGCGCTGGTTCGACGTTATATAATAATGCCGATGTCATGATTTAGGTCAATAGGTTAGCCGATGACGTAGCGCGCGTTCTAGATTAGGCAGCAGGTAAAACATTTGGTGTTTGGAAAATGACGGATCAAGGTAGAACACGTACTTCTTGTAAAACATATAACCCTTGGTTTCATGAAGAATGCAGAGACACGAGACGGTATTATCGCAAAGCAAAACAGTGCTACAAGAAAGACAGAAACCCAGTAAATTGCTCGTTTTATCGGCATGAAGGAACACTATATATAAAATGTTTAAAGAAACGTATTAGAAAATGCAAAAATGAAACTAGTAATATGTTAAGAAATCAACATAAATATTCACTGGAAGAATTGTGGAAAACTCAAAACAACCCTAAGAAGATAACACGTACAGTACCCCAAGTTTGGAAGTATTCCATTACGTTTAGAAAAACATAAATGAGTCATACCACGATGATGCTAGCAATACTGATTATGGATTAAATCTCAACAGTGGATAATATTTTCATTTAAAATATGTCAGCATAAATCTTAAAGGCTTCTAAAAGAAAATAATGTGTGTCTTCATGGAATTGACTTAAGCATTTGACAGCGTTTGGAGGGTAGGCCTTTGGCATAAAATGTTATCTCATTATATAGATGGTAAATTTTTATCTCAGTAAGTAAGATATACAGTAATATCAAATCATCTGTGATGGTAGATAATTAATTATCTAATTACTTTTTTTAGTTATTTGGGTGTCCGGCTGGGGGAAATTTATCGTCATTACTATTCTCTATAATTGTTAATGACCTAGATGTAAATCTTGTCAGTACAGGATGTGTGAAGGTTTCAATATCAACTGTGTGGGTGATGAGTATGTATACATGTGCATTAAATTGCTTATTTGCTATACGCTGATGATCCAATACTCCAAGGAGACAACCCTAAAGAACTCCAGACATCCCTTAATATATTTAAAGAGTATTGCGATCTATTGAAGCTTAATGTAAATATAAAAAAAACCTTAGGTTATAATATTTGGTGGAGGACCTGGAAAAACATAAAAGATATCGTTCCAGTTTGCTTCTTAATCTAGTACATAACAATGTGTACTTTGATATTAACTTTCTAACCCATTAAACATTTATTATCCAATCCTAACAAAGGTATGTTTGTATTCTCAAATGAAAAGCTTCATTTAAAATTCCTGAAACAAGCTTCATTGTTTATTGTGAATTAGGATGATTCCCTGTTAATCTTACAATTGCTAAAAATGATCAGATGCTGGTGTAATATAGACACAGTTATTTACCTACTTAAATTGCCTTCATGCGTTCTTTAACGTACGGAATTAAATACACTATTACAGCCTCTAACAATGTCGACTGGTTACGTCACATGAAGAATATTTTTAATAACTGTGTTAAGCTAAAATCTTACCCCAGTTCTGTATCTGAAATACTTTTCAGATCCAATTATGACATTAAGGTCTTGGAGCCAACATTTATTCGCAGAGACTGGCAGCTAGAAAAACACATGTAGAGAACTTAGAAAACTCGGTAGCGATGGAAGGCGACTTTCATTATCTATTTAAATGTTCAGCTTTCGAAAATTCTAGATGTGTTTATATTTCTAAATATCATTGTAAACGGACAAATCTTTATAAATTTTAAAATCTGCTGTTTTCTAATAAATATTCTGTCGTTGATAACGTAACTAAATTTATTGAATTGTAAACGGAACTGTATGATTTCCTCTTCTGTTATTATTACCAAGTTATCATTATCATTTCAAATACTTGTGAAAATATGCACATTTTCACGTTCCATCGTGGGAGTTTTTTTTGTTTTGAAATATACATTTTGAATTGAATCGGTACCATACGTATGGCAGAATCAGACAAGGATATGACGGCTATTGCCTCAGATATGATCCATAATGTGGTGATAAGTGGAAAGCATTTGTCAGGAACAGACTATGATATGACTGTAACGGCTCCATTCCTTAATCTAGATATACTATCTATTCAGTTATCAATATCAAGAACAGCACAGAAGGTACGGTTTCTCAAACTTCGACTAGGAATTGTAATTTTCCTATCAGTAAAGACAAAATATTTTATAGATGGCAATTTTTTATTATGATGCTATGTTTTGGTAGAGATCCTTATACCGTTGTCAAGCAAGAGTCCAAGGTTCTATACCGACACGAAACGTTCCATCATAATTGAATAAGGAAGTTGTCATCCATAAAATATCTTGTCTTTACTGAATTTCTAAAAATGCCAATCGAACAGTTCATATTTTTGCTACATGTACTTGTAGATATGAACAACGATGACAAGTGCAAGCACATGTACCTATGAATCCACCTGATTAATCAGGTCGTTGCGAAAGCAATGCTTTCCCATGACAAATATAAAACAAGGCGAACGTCAAACGCCCTATATATCTATGCAACAGTTGTTATGATACTCTGTCAATTCTCACGGTAAAGATAACATATTCATGTTAAAGTGCTTCAAGCTGTTGTAATAATTACAACCTGCTGTTTCTTGTATGTAATCTAATAGTCTTTCTGAGTGGACCTCACAAACACTTATTTGCATGCAAATATATATGCAGACGGAAGCATACACATGAATGTTATAATTTGACTTAACTGATGTCAGCGTTTTATTGAAATAGGTGCACCCGAACGGAAACACACTATCTACCAATTCTGATTTAGTTGCATTATTAACATAAGCAGAGTTATGAGACTTTGGGAGATGCTGCTAAACATGTCCCCCTGTCTGCTGTTTTGTTAGGATGTCAAGTGGATAACTGATATAACCTTAAGAAGCATGGTCAGATCAAAATCCCCCATCGCTAGGAATATTGTTGCTAATAAACATGTATAGGTTCAACTAAATTAATCTTCACCATATTGTGCCAAATGTGATTCAGTTCAAACTAAGAATACCCTTTTCACTTTCCAGAAGGTCATTCATGGAGCCCTTCCGCATTAAGATGGTGGAACCATTGCCAAACCCAACCAGAGAAGAACGCTTGAAAATTCTACATGAAAGTGGCTACAATCCGTTCCAGATCAAAGACAAGTATGTAACTTTTGACCTTTGGAGTGATTCCGGTACCGCTTCAATGAGCCAACACCAGTGGGCTGCCATGGTGGATACAAGCGAAGGTTGCATCAATCCCGAGAGCTTTGACACTTTTGTTGATAGCATCAAACGTTTAACTGGATTTCCATACATTCTTCCCGTTCACCAAGGCAGAGCAGCGGAACATATTCTCTTCTCAGTTCTAGCTAGGCCAGGTCTCACTGTATTCAGTAACACAATGTATATCACAGGGCGTACAAATGCTGAACTTAGTGGAGCGATAGTGGTAGATGTTCCTTGCAAACAAGTTGTTGGTGGATACTTCAATGGAGATCTTGACTGTGCAAGGTTGCAGGAAGAGCTCAGAGAGGTGGATGCAGGCAAGGCTAATGTCATCTTGACTCTAACCAGCAACAATCAAGCAGGACAGCCAGTATCTATGGCAAACATCAAACATGTTTCTGAAATTTGCAAGGTGCATGATATTCCTCTGTTTATGGATGGATGTCGTTTTGCAGAAAATGCATATTTCATTAAAACACGAAACAAGATGTATCAAGATGTTCCCGCAAGAGATATAGCTCTGGAAATGTTCTCCTACTTTGATGGAATGTACATGTCTGCTAAAAAGGATGGATTGTGTAACATTGGTGGCTTTTTCGCCACTCGACTCTCTGATATATACGGAAAATTCAAAAGGCGAATGATCTACATTGAGGGCAATTCCAGCTATGGTGGGTTATCTAGCCGGGATATGGAAGCTGTAGCTAGAGGTCTCTGGGAAGGAACGGATGACAGGTATCTGAAGTACAGAATTGAAAGCTTGACCATGTTTGGAGACATCTTGAAGAAGGCCGGCGTCACATTAGTAGAGCCAGTAGGAAGTGCCATCTACATTAACGCTGCTAAATGTTTACCCCACATTCCCACAGAACAGTATCCAGCTTGGGCCCTGCACTGTGCCCTGTATGTAGAAGGTGGCATACGATGTAAACATCTCCATGATGTCTTGAAAGTCGATGATACCAATAAACGAGAGAATCCCCAGCAACAGCACTTTATCCGACTCAGCATACCAAGGAGAACGTACACCTTGTCTCATCTCATACACATAGGAGGTGTTTTCAAGAGAATTTTGGAGAAAAGGGGGAGTATTTCTGGTGTATGCATCAAGAGCCCTTCTGAACATTATTTCTCAGCTATCATGGAGCCAGTGAGGAAATGTATCGTTGGTTAGATTTGTTTGATGTCTTCCCTTTACTGGTTAATATTGTTAACTGTATGTCTTTTGAGCATTGACATACTATGAGGTATCGACTTTGAAGATTAACAGACTTGAACATTAATTTTTCTTGAACATTCATTTATTCACATGACGTACTGAAGGAAAAGCTTCATTCCTTCGTCCATGGGTCTCTTCTTTCAAAGCGTGGGGTACCATAGATATAGTTACATATCTATCAGACCAATTTGTCAAAAATAACAGCAAATGCAATCTGACGTTTACTGAGAAAATAATATCTGAAATGCTGGACTTCCTCCTTGATAACGTCTGTGTAAAATTTTGGAGTAAGACATTTCGGCAAGAAGTAGACATCCCCATGGGCACCAATTGCACTCTCCTTCTTGCTAACCTGTTTCTTTATGCATATGAATCAGAATGTCTGCTCGGATTGGTCAAAACAAGGTAATTTGCCCAAGAACTTAAACTTAAGCTTCAGGGATATCGATGATCAGATATCGTTTAATAACCATCAAACAGCCTATTCCACTTATTTACCTATCTGAACTAGAAATGAAAGAGACAAGTGAGACCGCTTCATCTGTTTCATATTTAGATCTATGCAACACTCTCCACAATACTGTATGAGGAATGACTTCAACTTTCCAATAGTCATTTTTGAGGTTCTAACAAGCTTTCAAAGAGCGTCATATCATTCCTACTCTTACTCCAAGGTTACAACATCCAAGGCCTCAGGTAAGCTTTCAAAACGTTTGATGGTAGACATGTGGACGTCATTTCCATGTTTGACGGATCAGTGACGACAATTCCCTTTGTTTGTATTTTGACTTGTCTATGCATGTGTACGTGACAGGTGTTACCAGTGGAGCAACATACGCCCATCTTTTCACGAACAACTGGTATCATCATTATTGGATGGTGATTCGTGCACACGTACTCATAATATAGTCAGAATTTTACAATCAACTCTGTTTTTTGCAGAGGTTTCTTGTTTATATTGAAAGGATTTTGTCGCCTTTATTTACTGTATACATATATATATATATATATATATATATATATATATATATATTTAATTTATTCATTATGATGAGGTAGTTTTCAAATTGCTTTTCTTTACTACCATGGCATTTACATTATTTTTTGTTGTATTTATTTACCTTGAAAATGACTTGGTGTTGCTATAAGGCAGCTTATTTTTCAAGTTTATTTGAGGACTGTTATTGGCAAAAATTATATGGAGCTGTCGTTATTTACTGCTTTTCACAATTTATCTCTGTACAAACCGATTTCCTGGTTAACCTTCGCGTTCAGCTTGGGAATCAATGTTGTGTGGCAATATGTCGAAGCCAGTAGCAAGAAGGTGCATGTAGTGTATTGTGTAATACAGTGGATATACAGTGAAGTAGCGGAATTAGATTGTTTTTTTAAAAGTCACAATAAACTCGGATCACAAACAATAAAATTTAAGATTAAGTTTAACCTCAACAGACCAGACTGTCATTACCTTTCACTGCAGGAGTTATGACCACTTCCGGAGACAATAACACATACACCCAACACAATTGATTGATTGATTGATTGATTGATTGATGTTTTGAGACTAATTAATCAAGCCTATAGCTCCGAGTCTTCTGAAGGAAATAATGATAAATGGAACTAATGATTTACCACAATCCCAACTAATTAGTAAACAACCAACTCAGACCTTGAACAAACAGAAAACAAATATGTGTTGATGTTTGTTCAGGTTTGTTTCGGTTGTTATTTACCTCCACACTTACCAATACTCAAGCAAAAGACAGCCCTCTGTAAGTAATCGAATCCTGCCCGGAGAGTCCAGTGATGGATATCAATAGCATCGACCCACACAATTGGAATACCAACTCACCGAAACTGACCACCCTATCCATTCAGTCACCCCTTCCGATAAACAGAGTTTGATCGGAACCCATAGTCCACAAGGAATCCCCACAACAAAATAAATGTTTAACAAATTCCTTTATAATAAGAAATGGTTTTCAATATGGCTGCCATGGTCTTTCCATAGGGTCATATTATGAACCGGATTGGAACCTCACGAAGGTGAGAACAAGCATGTGAAGTTGCAGCTTCAGAGGAGAAGACGCCGACAGATGAGCTAAACATACGATGCAATCTTGTGTGATTATGTTCAATTAATATCTAATTGGAGACGTTTCATTGAATACATGCATGCCGTCGTTGTAAGTTGTAACATTGATGAAACAGCGTCTTGGTTTATAAAGCATGCTCGATTGTAGTCCCCTAAAGTTGTGAGACACGAAAAGCTAAAGCTGCAGGGAGTTTGCTCGACAAAAGGAAAACAAAAGTTAACTCTGGGAAAGTTGAAGTCATCCAACTTGTCATGCAGGCTTGTGGGGTGTGTCGTATAACTCTGAATCTTTATACATAATGTAAATATGAAACAGATGAAACGGTCTCATTGGTCTCCTTTATTGCTAGAAAAAATGCCCATGAAACCAACTCTGCATCATGGGTGACTATATTAACCTGTGAGTAAATGTATTTTTTGTTTCCTATCTTATTTTCTTCCTTGTTTTTTATTCCTTTCTTGTCACAGAATATACCGTGTACACAGCATACTTTCACCTTTCGAGTTCACATGCACAGATACACTAATGTAAGATCAGATAATGGCTGATCAAGATAATCAGCACAAACTGCCAAGGCCTGAACAACAACAAAAACCGTATTGATGTTTTACAAAATTTGAAAACAATTAAGCAAATATATATTGCCTGCAGGACACCCATTTCACTGAGAACATAGAAAATAAATGAAACAAGAATGGGGATCAAAACATTGTATATCTAATTGTGATAAAAGTAAAGCCCGACTGGTAGCTGTTTTGTTTGAAGATATCTTTGAATTAAAAATCTCAAAAGAAGTTCAGGATAATGAATTTGGTAATTGTAACATGTACAATCTCAATACGGACACGCCAGCATTCTTCGAAAAAGTAATAGATATTGACAATGATTTGAGTCGGATCACGTCACCACCTGTGTAGATTGGAATTTTATCCAAGACCCAGACATTGATTTGTACAACTATAAAATCGTAAACAACCCAAACGCCCGAGAAAATAATATTAGAATTCATGGATGAACAATTCTTTTACGACCCTTGGAGACATATGAACCCAGACAAGAGACGATATGCCTGGACACAAACCACATCCAAAAAAACAGTCTTGTTTAGTTTTCTTCTTGTTGTCAAGACACCTTGAAATACAGAAAGATAAAGTTTGTATAAACCCTGCTTGGCGATCACTCTATACATGGAATTGAGTTAAAACTTGATAGTATCGAGAGAAGAAGAGGCTACTTTAATAATTCCCAACTAAATGACAAAATTTTTGTTGAAACAACTAAAGAAGTAATTAAAAATACAACAGAACATTATTAAACAAATTGTGATGAACAAGGCAATGCCAGATTTAATATATAGATGACCAAGTTCTTTTCGAAACACTACTGTTGGTGATAAGAGACAAAACTATAAAATACTGCTCTGAAAGGAAACGAAAGCGACTTATAAAGACACATCGAATAATTGCAAAAGCACACCACAACAATTAGTCCTTGAAGGTGAGTAACAATATGAGGAAGTTTTAACGAAAAAAGTGCTGGTCCTGATGTATTTACTGCAGAATTTTACAAAAACTATTCTGGCTTGATCTGCATAAATATCTGATACCTAGGTTTCAAAAGAGTAGAATTATCCGTTTGTCAAAAGCAGGGTCTGATAAATTATATTCCTAAAAATGACAAACCAAAGCAGCACTTAAAAAATTGGAGACCGTTTTCACAATTAAATGTCTCCTATAAGATAACATCTGCAACAATTGCAAATAGAATTTTTTTTAAATCCTGCCAATTATAATTAACGAGGATCAAAGAGGTTTTATGTCAAAACGATATAATAGAGAATGCACTAGATTAATTTACGATATTATGGATTTTACTTTGCATGGAAATCCCACGATTGTTATTACTTATAGACTTGAAAAGACGTTCGGTTCAGTAGATTGGGATTTCATTCAAGAAACATTCCACTTTGGACCTTCAGTTAAGCACTGAAAAACAACCTTCTATCACGATATAAAATCTAGTGTTTTAGTGAACGGTTTTGCTTCAGATTTTCCTTAAGAAACAAGAGGATGTAGACAAGGTGACCCTTTATCTCCTTATATATATATTCTTGTTATGCGCTGAAATGTTTGCAATAATGCTACGCACCAATGAAAATATACGTGATAACTATTGAAAGGATAGACTATCTAAATTCACTATTCACAGGCAAGACATCTCTCATTTTCAATGGAACTGAATAATGTCTCCAAAACACAATGACAACTCTTCAAACATATGCGTCTTTTTCAGGCTTAAAACTTAACACAAGTGTTGTGGATAGGCTCACAACGCTTCTCTGATAAAACTATGTGCAAAAGTTGGAAATTTAGATAGGTCAAAAATACTTTTTCTCAACTCGGTATTATTTTTACTCACAAGAAAATAGTTGAAATAAATCACAAAGACGAACCCAAGACTACAAAAAACATCATGAACACTTGGTTAGCACGTGACTTAGACAAAATCAGTAGAAATATTATAACAAAACCTTACGAAGAGGAAGGTAAAAGAGTGCCTGATGTTAAAAATGCAATCGCTGCTCAAACCATATCTTACAGACGTTGGATACCATTGTTCAGGCGCATACCGGACGCGCATGTAACGGCGAGTATTTGTAATGCGGTTACGTCCCTTTGACACGCAGCTAATTGTACTTGAACTCATAGAAATGTAAATTTGGGCAAGAGTAACCTCCCCTGATTCATTATTTTAGGGGTATGCTGTGTTGATTGAAAATAATTTGAATATCCTCTGGTAACATGTTGTTTTTATTTCATAATTTTATTTTACAATGAATAAACATTAGAAATAAGGCAG